TGGCTTTGTTACACTGGTTATGAGTTTTGATATACGGCCGGCTGTGGCCTAAAGAGTTAAAGAGGCAGTTAGTTCTTAGTTGGACGAGTAAGGATCAGACACAGTGGAGGGTGTGGGAGACGGAGTAGATGGAGCTGAAATAGATTTATCTGATGCTGCATCGTCCATTTTCTCTTGTATGCTCTGTCCCGGGTCTGAGGATGAAGCTTTGGCCGGAAGCAGCCCTTCTTTCTCCCTCTTCTTCTGCTTCATCCTCCGGTTCTGGAACCAGATCTTCACCTGAGTCTCATTCAGCTGCAGAGCTGCTGCGATTTCAACGCGGCGCGCACGTGTCAGGTACTTGTTGAAGTGAAACTCCTTTTCCAGCTCCGTCAGCTGCTTGGTGGTGAAGTTGGTCCGGACCGTGTTCGGCTGACCCCCGTAACCGTACTCCCCAGACCGGCCTGCAGACAGAGAAACAAATCACTGTGAACTTATTGTATAAGGTTCCCTTACATGTTCACTGCTCACAACACACATATAGGGACAACAGGGTTTGGATTAGGTTAAACTTTTACGCCGCAAAAAGCAGCTTTTACGCAGCAGATAATTAATGTCAGTTGCTTTGAAACATGCTTTATTACACATACATTGTCTAATATAACACTGAAAGATAACATCTGCTACGTTATTTAATATATTACAAAAACATGACTATTCCCAGCCTTCTGTCGTTCAATTAACAACAACACAACAGACGTGGCCCATTCAAACACGAGTTGTTGAATATAAAGTCTATTTGAACTCAGAACGCTCATTAGACATATGTATTAACACTTTGTACCATTGACACTTTGCACCCACCTGTTTTTGGTGGGTTCCTCTTGACTTTCATCCAGTCGAAGGTCTGAGCAGAAGATGCACCCTCAGACAGAGGCGAACAGCAAGCCTCCAGGTGGGCTGCATGCAGTGGTGACAGTGGATTTGAGCACCCAGGAAACGGGGCAGCTTGCTCGTGCCCGCTGCCATAGGCAGCGTGGGCATACTGCAGCTGACCCAGAGGGGCGGCACTGTAACCTTGGCGTTGCTGAGAGACCATTGAGGAGGAAATGTTACCCGAGTACATTAGTGGACTGCACTGGGGGAATCCCGCTGTGGAATCTACTTCCTGATTGAGCGCGTAATGGTTATACGTAGCACAGAAACCTTGGGGTCCATAGCTGGAGCTGCAGGCCGGATGTGCTCCATAGGCGAGACCCAGAGAGCTCGCAGACTGGTATGACCCCGGCTGGTGAGGAATGCCGTCAGGGGAAGCCCTGCTCCCCATGAAGCGGTCATCAGTCCCGCAGTTGTTGACAGTTACCGCGCAAGACTGAAAAGTTGTAATCCCGTGATCTGAGTGGAAAGCCCTGACAGAGCACGAGCCACCTTCACCGTTCATCACCGAGTAATCTAAGAAGCTGCTCATTGTAGCATTGTTCTACCGGGGGGCGAGGGACAGTCCGCTCGACAGACACCCTCTGATCCTCTCTCCCCACTTACCCTGAGTGACCGTGCCAACCTTTACCTATACTCTGTCCCTATCAGGGGAAGGAGGGGGCGCGAGGGCCGATATCAGTGAACGGGTGCTGTCACGTGGACCCAGGTCAGCCAGTGAGGTAGGCCTACTTCTCCTTATCCCCTTAGCCGGTGACAGATTGGTGTTTGAGTGGCTATTTAAATTCCAGGCACTCGTCGATCAAGGTGACGCGCGTCGCCACTAATGTATTGGCCGAGCAAACAATGAGCTGGGAAGCAGACGGCGGCGGACAGCACCGGGGTCGCATGAAGAGTGGGGAACGGCAAACACGGCATCTTCTACCCCCTGCTGTGTGCCATCCTGCCCGGGGAAAGATTAACGTTCACCCCCTGCAACTTCCCCTGAGGACGACCTATAGCAGCCTGACCTCAGGTACGGTATTTTTGGAATAGAGGGGAAAGTGTGCATGCGTATGTGTGCCTGGACCTGTTGGTGCGTATATGCTTGGAAGCTGTCGTGCATGTGCCCCCGTGCGTGTGTGTATCCTCTCGTGCGTAACAGCATGATCATATGTATTATGGTGTCATTCTCTCCTGGATGGATAGCTCAGTGTGTGTGTGTATGTGTGTGTGTGTGTGTGTGTGGTGTGTGTGTGTGTGTGTGTGTGTGTGTGTGTGTGTGTGTGTGTGTGTGTGTGTGTGTGTGTGTGTGTGTGTGTGTCACTGCCACAGGCGATGTCCCATTCCAATGCGAAGTGTTTCACGCTTTAACACTGTGAGGGATTTGCTCAGCAAATATGTTCACAGTGAGGGAGGCTTCACTCCTGACTCGAGCAGAAAGAACTCCTGTCAAAGAGAGATTTCCCAAAACGTTGTTCCTCATCAAGTCGAGTTGAAAATGTTTGACTGGGTTTCTGCACTTGCTAGCAATGCTAGGAGGTCACAGGTGATGTATAACGACAAGAAAACCTATTAAACGTTAAGATGATTTAGTATTAAATGTTCCTCTCCCGGGGTCACAGGGTCTGCTATCTTCTCTGATTTCACCCACGTGTATTCATTATGCACGTATAGTGATCAAATGATCTGATAATGCGCAGCCCGTCGTGGACCTATTATAATGTATAGCCCGAGGTGCGACTGTGGGCTGATTATCCCGTTAAGTTCATCAAATAAAGCTGTTTCTTTATTGCCGGAAATTAATGGCGGCGAAAAGCTGCGCTGGAAGAAAAAAAAATAGACAGAGCTGAGCAGGGGAAATGTGTGTGCGTGGGAGAGCTGTTGCGTATAGCAGCAGAGGCAACCTCTCACTGAGGAAGGAAAATAAATGGGAGGGGAGGAGGGAGGGAAGCAGGGAGGGGAGGAGGGTGATCATATCGGGGGAAGAGCGCCCCTAATGGCTGTATGTGGTCAAACACTTTAAATGTTTCCAATTCTTATGGTTTATTCATGACAGTCTTCAGATATGCAACGATGGATGCATTGATACATGCAAAGGGATATATATATATATATATATATATAGATAGATAGATAGATAGATAGATATATAGACCGATATAGATAGACCGATAGATAGACAGATAGATATACATTTATGCATTGGTATTCTGCTGCCAAATTATTTGCGCTAGTTCTTTATGTTAAATATGACTTAACTCTGTCATGGAGTGTTAATTAAGTTTTACTCTTACTTTTTGGGTAAAGTATCTTAATACTTGTTCCACCACTGCTTTAAAATGTAGATGTAAACAAAGATAACATTTACCAAAAATTGAGTATTGATACCAAAAGTTATCAGCTATTGCAAAACGTTATACTATAGGCTAGTTAAAAAAAATCGCAGTAGGGTCAAAAATGCCCCCCGACTCCCTTCTCTCCCCCTCTTCCAGCTGCCTCTGCAACAGAGTGAGTGAGTGAGTGGGCGCAGGGGATCCTGTCTGTGGAAACTTCGCCAGGCCTTGGAGCTTTCTTGGCTCTTTGTGTGAACACATGTGAGCAGAAAGGGCGCGCTGTCTCGGAATGATTTGGTTATACTGGCCCTGGTTGGTCACTGCATGGGCGCTGGATTGCAGAGGAACTGCCCCCCTCCCACACTTTTTTCTTTAACCTCAAAACCCCCCTCCTTAAATACAGACTCACATTGCACACACTCACAGTTACCTAGTAGGCTAGTATTAAACCATTCGATTGGCTTCTTATGGTTTTCAGATTATTCGATAAACCGCAGTTGAACCATTGAGTTTCTGAATCTCAGAAGAGTTTCTGAATCGATCCATGGAGGCCAGCGTGGCAACCGGTGGTTATTTTTTGCTGCTCGTAAAGCTGTTTACGCTATTTCAAGCTGTGCATGAGCTAATACCCGATTCCCATAAATCATCTCAAGTGCAATACAATAGAGCAAAATCATTAATAATCCCTATATTACTTCAAGACTTCCTAAACAAATATAACTGCTCCAACAATGTTGCAAAAGCCCCCAAAACAAACTCTCTTGAAGTTATCCAGACATTGCATAATGAGCCTCTCTCTGAATCTATGCTTAGTTCATATGTGTCTGATAAATTGCTTCTAATCCATAAATCTGTTTTGAGTTTGAGCTACTTTTAACACTCGGGGAAAAGTGCAGCCTCACACCCTGCTACTGCACGCTGCCGCTGTCCCCGAGCCAGGGCCGTGTTTAAACAAGCTATAAACATGAATTATTACCAAACGCATGCAGAGACTCAGACCCCTTTTAGCACACGAATTGGGGAGTCCCGTATGAAAATGTAAGTGGAGTTTTATTTGTGCACATTACGCCACAATTGGTCTCCTTAATGTCCGTCTCATTCATGCCACGGAGTGATTTATGAGCTCCTGAAGGCAAACATGGCCTGGCTATTCGGCTGCAACACGCACACAATGTTAAGAGCCCTGTCATGCTATATTCGTGCAGACGTGTTTGCTTTTACTCTCCAAAGTATGAAGTGTGAAGGTGAACATTAAAATAATCTGCATTAGGGTGTAGGAAGCTTGAAACAGTGCCAATAAGATACCTGTGTAAATCTAAGAACATCTAAAAACAATTCCAGCAAAGCAAGTTACACTTTTTAACTCATTATTAATTGTTCGTTTCTAAACTACAATTTAGCAGATATTTACAAGTTATTTTACTACATTTAAAAATAAGTTTATCTCTGAAGTTTTTAATAAAATATGTTTTTGTGCCTTTAAAAACATGTTGTAAAAATGATTTTAGTAAACTATAGTCATATTTAAAACAATTCCCGTTTTGTTGAAATGTAAACTTTACAAGTAAATTCCAATCATGTGTGTGCCTTCACTACTGAAATCAATGCGGACTAGGCTATTTATATTCATTGCCAACCTGTTGTTACATTTGCATAACGTCTCTATATTTGCCCTACTTCTTTGATTTTGCATATTTTCAACATGAATAATTCTAGCTAAAATACCCAGTCTGGAAATAGATATAAAAAACGACTCAAAACACCAGGAGAAAGGATTGTAGCAAGTTAATTGTATTCTAACAAAAATATCCAAGACATTGGAAGCTATACAAAAATAAAATGACCAGGATCCATAGGCCTAATATTGTATAATTATTCACATACACTCGTAATTTCCATTCCATTAGATCAATTTGTTATGGTAATTACAAGTCACGTCTTGAGTAGAGCCATTTCAGTGATTTAATTTCATCCTTACCTTGTATTAATCGTCAAGTCAAATATCAACAGAATAAATGTGCCGAATATACAAATAACATCAGAGTTAATACCATCGCAGCCTGATATGTATTGTCCCGAGAGAAAGGAAGAAAGCTAGTGTGATTGATTTCAGTTAATAGTTCAGATGCTGCAGGTCGATTGTAGTTAGGGACTCCGAGAAAAAAAAGAAACTGTCTGTAGAAATGTCCACGGAGCTATCCAGAGACTCTGACAGGCTCGGCGAAGCTGCATCGGAGAGCTGTAGGCAGGAATCCGAGGAGAAAGGTTGAAAGTCGTGTATAGAAACATCCAGGGCCGGGGGACTGTCGCCATTGTCCGGGCCAGATGCCGAGCCTGGGCCCATTGTTGACATGCATCCCGGAACAGTGGGTGACGGGTTGGGAAAATGTTTCAGATTTTTGTCATTGCTGTTCAGCGGCGCAGCAGCAAAGCCCATGGACTCGCCATTGTGGAGCTGCTGTATGGAGCTCAGTGAGTTATTTTGAAAGGAGCAGGTATCTCTCTCCAGCAGGGCCCCGCTCCTCTCGTACATGGGGCCCTCATCGTCCTCCTCGTCGTCGCTGTGGAGGTCGTCCTCGGCCCCCGGCCCTTTCGCCTCCCCGTTGTGGTTCTCCTTGCTCTGGTTCTGTCGCTTGTGCTTCATGCGCCGGTTCTGGAACCAGACTTTGACCTGTCGCTCGGTCAGGTCCAGCAGGGCCGCTATTTCCACTCTCCTCGGCCGGCAAAGATACTTGTTGAAGTGGAACTCCTTCTCCAGCTCCAGCAGCTGTGTGTTGGTGTACGCGGTCCTCAGCCGCCGGGAGCCCCCTCCTCCCCCTCCGCTCTCCACCATCTCAGGCGAGTCTGGAAAATAAGCATTACGGTAGCATGGGATTAAAAACGCAGGACACAACAGTTACATAACCCCGCTGCCCGTGAATCTAACATTATGGCTTTCCCAAACCACCAGAGAGAGGCTCACAACATGCTGCAGCAAAATGGCCGCTGGAGCTATACTGACCCAAGCCTGTAAAGCTTTTTATCCCAAAAATCAATACAACATAAAGATACTAATCAGACAGTTTTAAACACAACAATAATGTCCAGCATGAGTGTGAAGCTAACACAGTGCACTAAAAGCAGTGAGGTCCAGGCTGCTGTGAGATACTAATGAATGCTCCAGCTGCCCTCCTCGGCAACGGCACTCCATCACTCTTCATTACTGTCACACATCAAAACTGCCACGGCTAGGGGAATAAATCATCTTACATCACCAAACTTTATCCAAACTTTTTTTTTTCTTCAAACACAATCACAGCAAAGCAGTAACCATAAATATACCAGAACAAAACGGATGTAGCCTGTTTGATATTAAGGAAAGGCCTGAGCTCTTATAGCAAAAAATAGTCTAGTCAACACATTTGCAGTGAAGGGTCCCTGTTTGTAAATACCCACCTTTTGGGGAAAAACACACAGGTCCATTGGAGATGGTGGTCGCGGTGGAAGTCGGCAGGTGATTCCGCTTGGAGGCTTTCTTCTCCCGCATCCAGGGGTACTCCGGGGGTAGAGAGGCTGTGGGCAGCGAGCTGCATCCGTCAGGGCTGTGTCTGGGCCGGCCGTGCCGCGGATGGCTGCCCGGATTCAGGCTGGGAATGGTCTGCTCAAAGGGAGGAGGAATCAGTGTCGGGCGTGAAAGCGTCGAGCTCTTGATTGATGAACTTTGAAATGAATCAGCGACAGGGGGGAAAGATGTCAGGCACTCAGCAAGCGACGGCTGACTATTGATAAAACCGCTCTCTCGCTCGAATTCGTAATTCATCTCCACTCCCTGAGAGCCGAGGAAAGTTTGCACGCGTATTTTTATAAATGTTGCGGCTCAATGAGGACGAGAAAGAAAAAATCATTTAAAAAAATCTCCTGGTGGTGTTTTTTCTATATCACTGATTACGGCAGTATGGGGACCGAGCTACTATTAAACTATTGAATTCATGGAGACAAGGTTGAAATTGGACCGAATTGCCTGTCACATGATTACCTCTGCCCAATGACAATTTGGGGTTTAATCAAAAGGAGCCACTGTCTGCCTGATTGATCCAAAAACTCTGATGAAGAACGCCTCGCTCAGCTGGGGGACGACTGTTTTTATTTACATCTTTGTCCGCTCAGTTTATCCTCCTCTCGCCCTTCCAGTCCAGTCCACTAGCCACAAAATGTGTTTTTTAAGAATGGCTGACGCTCACTATTACAGGGAAGGAGCCCAGCCTGGGTGCGCGGATTCGTGCACTCCTCTTTCTCGTATTGTTTGAGGATGTCAGTCTAGAACGCCCCCACACCACACACACACACACAGACACACATTTCACACCAGCTATTCAAATAGGCAAGAGTCTGGCTTTAGATGTGTAAAAAACATACCCCAAAAACTGATATTGAGACTTTTCGACAGAAACCAACCCCAACAATCCAGTCTGCACAGTAAGTGTGCACTCCAGAATAGATGGGATTTTTCAAAGATGCATAATAATGAAATATGAAGTGCATCCATTGACATGTGTTGCAATAAAAAGCCCATCCATTGAGTTAATAGTAGGATATGACATGTACGGACCATTTTGTACACATAACAGCTGTTTAACATTTACAGATCAGGTCCATAAATGTGTACGAAATTTAACACGCACATATTTTATGTATGTGTACCCATAAACATTGTTTTACTATACACTTTAATATGGACACTTTGGATATGATATAAAAGCACATACGTTTTTCGTTTATTCCAATAAAGCTCGATTTTGAAACGAGGTCATCCCCGTCCATGTGTGTGCACAAACCCACAGACATGAGGCCAAAAAAACAAGGAGCATTTTTCTAATATGATAGGTAATTTTCTAATATTTCGATCACCAAAAGCTTCCATTGTTGTTTAAATATTGTTTTAATAATTTGAAGAATTTCATGTAGCTGTTAAGATTAGAATCCCACAAGGCTATAGCAGAGTTTACTGGGAGGACAAGAGATATAATGCCGAGGAAACCATCCCTCTGTATTTCCAGAAATCAATTCTACCTGAAAATGCAATGAAGCAAACACCGTTACATTTACAATCGACCATTTGCAGCGTTATTATGTAAATGGTATATTCTTATTGAACGGCACTTCCCTGCAGTGTGTGGTTTTATAGCCCTTCCAGAATCCTAGAAAGCCACATTTGGGATGTTTTTCGTCAAACAGTACATGTTGTATTTTCATTTCCAAAAAATGGTTTGGAGAGTAAGAAAGAGGAAGAGGAGAAGTGGTAGGCCTCTCTCAGTTTGTTGCTTATATACCAAACAAAGAGTCCTGGAAGCCTGCGCGCGATCAATCTTACTCGCCAAAAGGTCTGACAGCTCGGTGCCCTCACAACACATTTAAGGCTTCTAACTCTCCCCCGGATCAAATGCAGCCAGGAAGCGGCGAGAAACACTGGCCACTCAGATTAGAACCAGTTTCTGCTCGCAGTTGTAGCCGGGCTGTCGCTGGAGGGATATTTTTAGAAGATACATAAGAATCCATCTACACAAGATGTGACCATTTCCTTTTTGAGGAGGCTGTAATGCGCCAACGGTGAGTATGGCGAAGCAGCTTCTCCACCTGGCTTTTATCTTTAAATCGTGAATGCATTCACATAAAAACGTGCATTTGTCGTTCTAGAGGACATGCAGGATTTTGAGCGGACCAGGGGCAGGACAGAGTTGCTAGGGAAGAGATGGATGGTTTTTTTGGAATTACGCACAGGCTTTGTGTGAAGGAAAGGAGTGGGTGGCGGCATTTAGTGGACCCCAGCCTGTCCACTGGTCTTTACATCAGGATTGATTTAGGACCACTTTCCCACGGATGGATATGCATAAGAAGAAATACAAATGTTCTGTTTCAGTTAAAACGTTATTTATGTGCTTATGGCACATATGGGTCATACCAGTAGCTTGCTGTGAGTGCGTGTGCGCGTGTATGCAGCGTGTCTGTGTTGGATGCAGATAGTGCATCAGCTTCTTTCTTTTTTTTTTTACTGAGACACACCATGGTTCAATTGTTCTAGGTGTCCCTGCTAACCATATGTCAGGGTTAGTAATGTTCATGCCCTCTCATATCAATCAGATTGGGCTGACAATTATTTACAAGTGTAATATCAGTGAGGACAAATAATACTGCAGTTGCACAAAGGCAAAATATAAAAAAAGAAATACCATAGTGCAAAAATGGTTTTGGTAATTTGATAAGACAAACATGTGAAGACATATCTGTGCATTTTTGTCATGAAAAGAAATACAAAACCATGTAAGCATTTTAGCTCCATGTGTGAATGTGTTACATTTCTTTATATGAAATTACTGCAAATAATTGAAACATGTAGAATAATTCTTATGCAGGCCCTTCATTTTAACAAAACACGCACACATATGAAATCACTGTCGTGCTCCAGCTTTTCACGATAATGTGCTTTGTATCGACACCACTGAGGTTTTTCGTTTTGAACTGCATGGCTTTGACAATGGCATCTGTAAATCTGTAATATTATGAGACAAATAATCCCCCTTACGATTTCTACTTCAGTCTGTATCCTCTCTGACCGAATTTGAGTGACTGAACACATCAGGAAAATATTTTTCAAACGATTTCTCATTTAGCTTGTTGTCTTCTTGCAGAATCTCCAGAAGGGCCGGGGTGACATTTGTATTATTATGGATGTGACCACGCGCATGAGAGGAGGGGAGAAGGCCACCGAGAGTTTTCTTCACGTCGAATATAAATGGATAGAAAAAAGGGAGTATATTTTATTCAATATTTGACTTAATCTGAGGCCAATTACTTTTCTGTTTTTGAATATTAAATATGGCCACGGATTTCACATTATTTTATAAGCATAATACAAAATATAGAGATCTACAAATGTTCGTCCATGAATTATTATGCTATTGTTATTGTCTTTTATAATGGCAATGTTGCAACCATTTATTTCCCCCTTTTTGTGATCACCAATACAAGTATAAAGCGTCATGAAATATATAAAAGGAACCATATGTAATAATGGGAAATGTATTTTTGAAATGTTTTATCGAGAAATTGTCTTGAATTAAATGTGTGTAATTGTATACATGCTTAAAATGTGTCTGAATTAAAACTACAAGTTTTATGCAATTGTATTTCAATTATTTTATTTATTTCTTCGAACTGGGAGCAGCGTGGAATGTATGACATCGAAAAGGAAATTAATGATGCCTGTTTTTTTTTCTTCAACAAAAGAAATTGCTAATGTGTGTCCTTCTTTCCACCCTTATTGCATGACTGATTGATTTTACATTCACTGAGAAAATAAAAACACCTCCTTGAAGAAAAAACATAGCCTATAACAGCAACATGGTGCTTCTGCTACTGTGGAGTTCCTGCACGCTACATGTATGGGCTGGAAAAGGGTTGAGACGCTTACTTTGCACCAACCTTGTCACCACACATAGATCGCAAAGGTGTCAAATAATACTAAAGGACTCTTTTATCGTAACACAAATAAATAACATTATAAAGTCCAATAGAGCAACATAAGCAAGGGAAGTTGCGTGTAAGCTCATGACCCTTGTTCTTGAAAATGTTTTCCCCTCATAATCCCAACTCGTGTCGTTTGAAGGATCCTTGCAAGTGCAACAAAATGCAAAACACAATTCTTCAACTGCGGATAAATAAAAGACGAACAAATTCACATTAAAAATGAATAACATATGTTCATAATACCCTGTTTGCATTTAAATTGTAAAACAATATTCAAAAAAAGATTAAATAGTCCTATGCTTATATGTGCCCCCCTCCCTCCCACTCTAGACGTCCTACAGCTCAGTCTTTGTGAGACAATGACACGAGCAAATAGAAGAAAAATTCAAGCAAGTCGTGATTATTTACCCTACGCTACTTCACACATCAAACTATAGAAAACATAAACAAAAGCAGAGAGAAGGTGGACGCCGCGAGGAGGCGCAGAAACAAAGCAGTAATGTGTCTGGAGGTGGATAAGACAATGGGCGGAGTGTTCCGGGCTGCGCCACCGCTACAGATGCGTCAGTTTGGGCGCTTCCTGGATTCTTCCCTGAGAGTAGTGCGCTGTTAGGTCTGTGTACGTCGGTGTCGGATCACACACTCGGTGATGCTGACTGTTACCCATTGTGATTGCTCCATTGTAGTCCATGTTTGTGGACGGCGGGTGCGATAGATGGGTCAGACCGAAAACGGAGGTCCCAGAATTGGGCATTGAGTCGATGTAACCTCCACCGACATACACGGGGCTGCCCTGCATGTGACTCCCGTAGTTGCCATTGACTTGAAGAGGATGCGCGTCATACTCGGGCGTGGCCGAGTCGTTCCCGGGATACCGCTTCTGGGAGGGAGGGCAGTTGTTGAGGGAGTTGTTCAAAGGAGGGGGATATGACGTGGCCATACCGTATGCATTTTGATGAGGTTTATTGTAAGACGTCGGCGACTGGGATTCGTAAGGTACATTGTTTACAAGAGAATGCATAGAGTTGAGGTATCCTCCACCACCGCCAACCCCGGAGCCTGGGCCCACGGGACTCCGAGGGGACTGTCCGCCAGGGGAAGGCATCATTCCGACGCCTTTCTGATCCTTCTTGTATTTCATCCTGCGGTTCTGGAACCAGATTTTGATCTGTCTCTCGGTGAGGTTAAGCAGGTTCGCCATCTCCACCCTCCTGGGTCTGCAGAGGTACCGGTTGAAGTGGAACTCCTTCTCCAGCTCCACTAGCTGGGCGCTGGTGTAAGCTGTCCGGGCCCTCTTCGATGCTGCTGACCCCGGAGGACTCTTGTCTCCGGGGCAACTCTCCACTGTCAGGGAGAAGGAGAGGAGGATGTCAATCAGTAATCCATTACAGACAGATAGAGAGAGAGAGAGACAGAAAGAGAGAGAAGAAGGGAGAGAGAGAGAGAGAGAGAGAGAGAGAGAGAGAGAGAGAGAGAGAGAGAGAGAGAGAGAGAGAGAGAGAGAGAGAGAAGATGGGGGAGAAAGATAAGATAGAGAGAGACAGGGCCGTATCCAGGATTTCCTAAATACCGAGGTCCAAATAGGGGGGTTCGGGGATACCCCCCGATATTTTTGGGATTTTAGGTGCTTTTTAAGTCCTGATGGGGGGTCACACATTGTATAATATATTGATTTCAAACTATGTCAGTGGGCTGACAATGTCAGCATCAATTATTTTTGAAAGTGTAATGCATAAGAATCAGTTGATTGTTACTATTAATGATCTGGACATGCAGAAGAGGCTAAAATGATCACAAAACATTGTCAACATTCATTTTCCATGTCTCTCCTTTCCATAACCTGCAGCCTCTCTTCCATCTTCTTGAGTCTCTCTGTCTTCTTCCTGTTCATTACTCTCTCTGTCCTCTACTCTTTCTCTTTGTTCAATCTCTCCCTCGTTGTTCACTTTTTGCTCCTCCTCACTTGTCGCTCCTGCCAGTGAATTAAAAGCAATTCAGCCATTTAGTTAATTTCACTTGTTTGTTTGCACTTTTTGTTTTATTTAAATCTGTTTTGTTTGATTCTCAAAAGAGAACAAAGATGTAAGCAAATTGTGTTTTATACAATTGTATGTTATTATGACATCATAACTGCAATAGATGTATGTTGTTTTACAATTATGCCTATTGTAAATTAAGACTATTGTTATAGATATATATATAGATAGATAGATAGATAGATAGATAGATAGATAGATAGATAGATAGATAGATAGATGGATGGATGGATGGATAGATAGATGGATGGATGGATGGATAGATAGATGGATAGATGGATGGATAGATAGATGGGGTTATTAAGCCTACATTATTTTGTGTGACCGTACCTGCAGTTCCCCCCTGACTTCCATCAATTTCTCTCTCTCTTTCTCTCTGCCTGTCCTGTCTCTTCCTTACCAAAGCTGAGCTTCGACTGACATAGTATTTTCATTATATCTGAGCCAGTGTAAAAAGAAAACAATACAATGTTATATCTTCAATGTTTTACTCAAATTGAAATGAATGAAAAGCATTACAACGTTTGTTAAAAGGTAATCCTTCTGACATTGGATGAATGTAATTAACTTGAGCTCTCTAGCTAGTTTATTCACGCAATTTAAACCAAAGTATAGCTGCAATATAAGTTAGTGTGCATGTTGTCGGACGTCCACTGACTAACGTAGAGCGTTCACACAGGATCTGCTGCTCATATGATGTCCTGATGAACAGAAACACAAGCAGCCTGCTGGACTCAGATCTCTAGATACCTCATCACTCCTTCGCTGCTCCGGTACAAGTCCGGGCTGCGGTGGTTTGTTGATACTGGTTGATACATGTCGTCTTCTTCTGTTTGCTTTAATCGAGGCTACGTAGTTATGCAGCGGCCCCATCGTCAGTAAATGGAAGTACTACAAAGAATCCTGTTTAATGCAAGTATTTCACAAGTTTTGTTACACAGCTCGAAAAATATTACCGAGGTCCGGACCTCGGTGACCTCAATGGTGGATACGGCCATGGAGAGAGAGCCAGATAGAAAGAGAGGGAGAGAGAGAGGCAGTGAAAGAACACAGAGTGAAAGCAAAACCATCTGACAACACTCAAGCTGCTGATAACAGAACTTTCAACCATAACGAGGGGGGTTTACCAGATAAATATGCCCTGCTTCACTACTTACATAGGGGTTTCATCATCTACTCTTTTTCTTTCTCCACCTCCTCCCACCCCTTTATGTGCGAGCGTGCATGTGCGTGTGTTCCAAACATATCACAATTTTACTGCAAAGCACAAGGGTTATCATGGGGGCTCCATAAGACAATTAACAATCAGTGTCTGTGCACCAAGTGCAAAGAGAGAAAAAAGTAACTGAAGAATAGTGGGTCAATATTTGATATGGGACCAGGTAACCTGAGATTTCCTACTAAAACATGTTGACCCTCATCTTTCCCCGTAGTCCCACGCGTAATGCAAACACAAACGTTATGTATTCCTCAGGGTGTATAGAGCTGCTCGCTCTGCCCTCACTGATAAGCCTCCCCTTCGAAGCAGGAGCTTGGCTGCAGAATAGCAAGGTGTTGGTCTACTTGCCGCTGTGGCAGGCAGCCAACACTTAATAAATATCATTACCTGTCGGCCATACGTGGAGCAAAAGGAATGCAGCATGACATAACCTGACCCATTAGATTATAACGGAGATGAAAGATAACTTAACACGAGGAATATGGATACCCATGTATGTAGGACCAACACTAACGATTATTATTTTACTTCTTAGGAATTCATTTTTTAAGGATATTAGCTTGATTTATAAAATACAAACTTTGGAAACATGTTTGTTAAGTGCAGGGTTGTCATTTTCTGTCGAATTTTAGCACCTCAATGTGTTGTATAAATTAATGAAAAACCCTTCTTAAAGATAAATCACATAATGAAGGTCGGCTAACTGATTTGCATTCATAATTCTTACAGCAAAATATTACAAATACATTAATCCATTTGGTAATATGAGAGGGCCATGGGAAGGTAAGCATTTATCCATTTTGGGATGTTATTACATAGAAAAAAACAAAACCCAACAAGTGTTCATCTAATCAAGCAGCATGATTTGGCTTTAAATCAGTAAAGAATGTATAAAACACCCCAATAATGGCATGCACCAGTTGTTTCCCTTAATATAAAACACTTTCTCAACTTAAATCACTATGACTGTTGCAATACTGCTTATCATTTACTTAGACGGCCTAGTTAGAAGATTAACCACTTAATTTACAAACAAGAAAGGTCATGAGAAAGATTAGCATGGCTGATATTATAAACAACACAAACTCCCTACTCTGACCTATCATGTTTGTCTGCAATTAAACAGCAGGATGATGCCTGCATAAGTGCGTAAACGTGCGTAAAACGGTTTCCATCCATGTCAGCCCGACAACCTGTAATCACAAACTGATGAAAAATATTTCCTTAAGAAAATTCATATTCAGATCACCTGGATTTGGATTTCAAACTTTGACTGTAATAAGTACCCGTTTATGGTGTAATAAAGAAGTTCATTGTAAGATAAGCATAAGTTATGGTTACGTAAATTACTCCTAAACCCCACAACCTCACCCCGTTTTCCTTTCATCCATACGTCTTTTCTTAGCACAATTCTAAATCAAGCACCCAATAAGTTCTGTTGAATATTATCTTAATTCAAATATTTCCTACAACATTAAAACAAATCATGGGAGGATGAGCATCTCTGAATTTTAAGATTGGCTCTGTGTAAATAAAAACATTTAAACCCAAACCCCCCACTCTGGTCCACCAAGTTTCCCTCTAATCAAAACAGCAGGACAAACTGAAACAACTGTTGTCCGTGTTTGTTTGTTGTCTCTCTGGTAACATTATGTGATCAGTGGAGATTTGTGTTTACAGTAGGGACGGGCCAGCTGCAGGGCAGAGGGACAACACATGGTGGAATCTTCTCCCAATGTAAGAGCACATACAGTCTTTAACCTTACAGTGAACTTATATTTGATCATATGTTTGGTATTGATTGATAGTCATTACAGGATGTGTTATAATGAAAGTAACACTTCTAATGTGGATCGTGTCAGGAAGGAGTTGATTAAACTCTGGTAATTTTTTGGCTGCATTTCCTGAATAACTCAAAGATCCCCCAGTGGGAACACAATTTAAACATAATATATAATAAACATCTGACTTGAAAAATCTAGATGAACACCTCTCTGCCCCTGGAATAGGAAACATTTTTTAAAAATCCTTACATAATTGTCCTATGTTGCACTGCCCCTATGCTCATACCTTATCCCCAACCCACCCCCTATATGTATTGTGTCCTCCCTCAAGTAAACGTATGCAACTTTCTTGTCAGAGGCTTCTCAACTTATGTGTTTGCAGCAGCAATGTTTTGGTTGAAAGTAGCCTACCTGAACTGGAGCTACTGTTGGGTTTCTGCTTGATGTTCTGACGGGATTCCTTCATCCAGGGGAAGATCTGTTTGCGAGTAGCAGAGGTCGGGGAGCCGTTCTTGGCACTGGGCTGGTTGGACCCGTTGCTTGTGTTTTGGCTGATAGCACCGGGGGATATTGAGGGAGGGGGCGGGCCTGACACTGGCACCTGCGGTTGATTGCTTTCGGGATGAACCTTGGACTGCGCCGCCTGAATGGCTGTGGTCCTGTCACAGCTCTCCGCCATCTCCCCCGGCTTCTGCAGAGCCACGGAGCCGTCAGGAGACTGCAGGGAGCAGGCAGGTCGATGGTACTCACTTTCCACATGAGAGGCCCGGGGATATTGGACCTGATTGGCATCATAACTGAAGCCATTTGCGCTTTGATATGGGTAGCCACTGTAAATTGCGGAGCTGTCGTAGTAGGTTGCCTTTTGCATCTCGCCGTTTCCCAATATTTATTTCAGAAACTGACAGGGTCTTGACACCCTTGTAGAATAACATTGGCACCCCGTGGTCACGTGACGCCTCTCCGCCAATGGCCTCCTCGGGTGAACCTAGGGTTACAAGAAGCACTGTGAGGAGAAGAAATGGTGGCGATCCATCTTACTTTTCAATACAGGCCTGACACTGGAGACTATGGAAGCAAGATAGGGCCAACAGTCCTGTAGACTATTACCGTTTACCTTATGGCTTACACAGAGCACAAAGGCACGCACTAACCTTGCATTACCATCTGTGCCAAAACACATCAAAACAAAAACCTGTTCAAACGCTTTTCAGATTGCAAAATCAATTTTAGGACCTAACCAGAAAATACAATACATTTTAAACCTGTTTGCCTATTAACAATAAAAATGAATGTAGTAACACAACAGCTTTTAGACAAAATACTGGATAAAAAGGGTGCTTAGGGAAATCCAATTAGCGGGTTACCACACAGGAAAATAATATTTATGTTATATTGTTATTCTACCAACACGGCTGTCAACAGTATATCTAATTTCCCATGTAGCAGGTGAATGCATTCCGTGTGGTCCACAACTTTTTAACCCTTTTTTGTTTTCACTGAGTACAAAAAAAAAATCTTCCTTCAGTAACAGGATAAACCTCAATGCGCATGCACGGCCACCTGACGCAAAGCAAAAGCAACCGCATTCTCTTCCTTCTCTTTTCTTTTTTGTTTTACTTCTGAAAGGGCTACGAGGAAACCTGAAAAACCGGGCGGGCATCCGTGCATCTCTATGACCACGGTGTGAACTTTTCCTTGCAGGCCCATAATAATGGCTGCTGTCAGTGCTGTCTGCTCGGCGGCCCTTCGCCGTGATATATGGGGGTCAGCGGGCCGGGACGGCCTGCTCGGAATGAGCGGCCCGGTGAGCAGCCAGCCCGGTACTGTGAGACAGAATCCCGGCATGGCACAGCTAGAGCCTGCTACTAAAACACCATAATTCACGCAGGTAACCATGGGGATCACCCTCTTAAAGATTATTGGGGAAACTATAAACCATAATAGACACAGTAACAGGGTCAGCTGTTATAATGTGGAATTATTATTGAAATAGTGGAACATTTAATGTGGATTCCTGTTGTTTTAACCAATGCCATCAAGAAATAGTATGCAATGCATAATAATAATAATAATAATAGGCCTACTTATAATAATAATAATAATAATAATAATAATAATAATAATAATAATAATAAATGCAGTATTAAATATATAATTAGAAAGATAATTAACTTTATTTTTAAGTTAAGGAAATAATGTTCAATGCAAATAAAAGATAAATCCATCCTGTTTGATAACTAATGTGAAATCATGCTATTCTTTGTCAGCGTATGCAATTGCAGAAGAAGCGGCCAAGGAAGCAGCTCGTTTTTGGAAATAAATACAAACTTATTAAAATAAGAATATATTTTGGAATAACAATAACTTCACATTGTAATTGCTTGAATCAATGGATCCGAGTTTAACATCTCCGAAGTTGTGCAATACAAAATATGATTTCAAGACAAATAGGTGTATAGTAGTTCCGGAGCATACATATCTAAGGCATTTTCTAAAAACGAGTACAAGGAAATGAAAGGAAAATGTGGAGCAACTCAGGTTTCATGCAGCCGTTTAAAGCAAATCAGTTTAAAATGAGCTTTAAGATTGCCTTCACTGCAGCTTAACCGCATAGTGAAAGAAGGTGCCTTCGCTGTATCTGCACTCACAATGACCTGGACAAGATATCAGAAGGCTTTGTAGTGTATCTCTCGCTTGCGATAGTCATAAAAGACAGAGAAAGAGAGACAAATGACAGGCTTTCTGCTCAGCCCTCTGCTCGGCGTTAGAGAAATCTGGCTGGCTGACTGCGTGTGTGAACTCTTCCTGAACTGAGATCTAAGTCATACGGTGATAAATCACCGAGCGACACACAAACTCCGCCATTTACAACCGAGGGAGCCTATTCCTGGCCTGCTTACCTTATCCTCTGACGACGAATGCAGAGCACCAAGCGATATTTTCTCATTCAGCGACGAAATCGATCAAAGCAGTAATCCAGAGAAAAAGTTTAAGGGCAGGGCTGGCTGGGTGAGGCAGCAGCAGCAGAGTGCTCCCTGCCATGCACCAGGCATTAGCAGCCACAATAAAAAAGGGAAGAGCCGAGAGAAACCCCTTTCCTTTCCTTTTTTTTCCTACTCGACGTGGATGGGTAAACCGAGATTACGAAAGCAGGCGTGAGCAGTCGGGTCAGCGAGATAAGAGTTATCTGGCTTCAAGATTGAATGTATCGTCATGCTATAGAGCAATGCCAGGGCTTCATAGTGATATTAAACTGGGCCAATGCAATGCTATAGACTATGTGATCCTTCACCAGTACCATGCAGACACCACTGAACTGCCCCGAACCAGAGCGTCACCATAGACAAAAAAAAATTATGCAAATAAGAAGAGCCTTGGAAAGCCAGTTCAAATCAAGTGGCTCCTTCTCCTCCTCCCCCAACCAAATGAGGTAGTGTGTCTAGAAAAAAATTATGCCTCGTTACAAACTAGCAAGGAATCTATCCCCTAAGTGTTTTAAATGTTTTTAGTTATTATTTACTCCACGCTCTGCAGTAGGGTTATGAGCCCAGTGGATAAGATGTAAGAGAGAAGGGAGAATACAAAGGAATAATCGGCCTCTGACCATGCTGCATTTCTATTTCCACGGGACATAAAGGGCTTCTTTCTGCGGCTTAATCATTAACCCAGATTTTTACATAAACTCCTCAATCTTTTGGCACAAGGGACGCGCAATTCGTTTTCATTCCAGAGGCAGGTATTCTGCTGCCGGCATGGCTTCTTGTATGACACACTATTATTTTAACATTATAAATCACAACAACTTGAGATCAAAGCCGTGTTCTATGTATATCAAGAGAAAAACCCCACCAGGAGCAGGGTGTGAAACATGGGAAGAAGGTTGATCACCAAAAGGCAGAGAGGAGGACATGCAGCGAGGAGCAGGGGAGAAGAGAGCCGGCAGCAGGGGGAATCCCTCTGCATGGTAATGCTTCACTCTTGCAGCCAAAGAGAGAATGAGAAAAAAAAAATAGATTTATGTCTTCTCAGCTGCCACAGGCTGTAAACACGCTCAGAACCGCAGCTTCACTGCTGGTTTCAGGCTCTGGGACAAAATGCAATGACACAATTAAAAAGGTATAGAGCACAACGACGGCGTGGGAGGGTGAGTGGGACACAAATTCACGTGTGAGGTTTCTTTTTTTAGCCAACTCGGCTTTTTCTTTTCGAAACCAAAGTAGTCACATTGTATAATTATTTACTTCTTTGTGTTTAGCTAAAATGCTGACTCGTCTCTCTCTTTAATTTAGCCGTGAGCTAAGGGTGAAATGTCAGCGAGTTGGTGGTCCTATACGGCCGTGCAGAATGTGCGTAAAAATCTAGGAGAAAGAAACAAAATCTGAACATTTGATGAAATACATTTTTTTTTTTTTAACTAGTGCAGTTAACTATAGCAGCTACACACAGATGGCTTTCACTGAAAGTACTTTTTGAAAGGAGTAAGGCACCGCTCCAAGAGCTGAGATTCCCCTCGTCACTTTTATAGTGACAAATTACACCACAAAGACAAGTGGAAGAGAAGGAATTATTGCTTTCGGGCTGGTCATATTGCTGCTACAAGGAAATGTACTGCTGCTTGTCTATCCCTGCAAGTGCTTTGGTGGGCGTGTGTGGTACTTATTAGAAATTGAATAAGGATATCACCATCAAGCATTCATAACACAAATCAATAAAGATATATGGACTTACCGAAGGCAGTTCAAGGTGTCTTGGAGACCGTGCGATGGCCTGAATTTACTCGGCTGGATTTCTGCAATGAAAAATAAACACAATTCAGAAGAAAATAAAACCTTTTAATGTGGACAAACACACGCGTAAAGGCTATTTTAGACTAGCATCTCCCTATATTGTTAGAGAATTAAATGATAAATAATTCGTCTAATTGTATAAAACACAATAGGCCTTAATCTAAAAATGCGCAAAATGAAACGTTTTGTGCAAACCAACTTAAATTAGATGCAAGTGTTTTAAATAGAATTGTTTGGTTTATGATTTATATTGCTACACACTGCTATATTTAGGAAGGCTCCAAGGCTTTGTGTTAACGTATTATCTGTTCAGTTTAGAGAAACCATTAAAATCTAGATTCTTTTTAGCATTTTGCTACACAATATCAACCAAAAATATATCCATCTGTAAGAACAACAGAACCATCCAACAATGATAAACAAACTGCATAAATAAAAGCCAGAATGCAACGATTCTCCTTAGACAAATATAACAATACAACCAAATATTGCTGCCTGTATCAGGGTAATATCACAAATAACATAAAAAGGGGCCAATGCAAATAACGTGTTTGTTGTTTCCCTGCATGCCGGTAAGCATTTTCTCCACAAACGGATCGAATAGTCATTAGCTCTCGCGCACCATCTTCCCCAAGTCCCCGTGCCCATAAATCAAGCTGCAGCGCCGTGACCTCAGCGGCCGCGCGGTCCTGGATGGCACTCCGTCTTCCATTATATCCTCGTTTCCCCGGCGGAGCGACACAACCCCACCGCTTTCCCCTACATTTTATGGAGCCCATCTTGATGTATCATTTACGCACAAAAACCTCACGTAAAGACACGAGATGTTTTGTTTTATAGGACCGGTTGCACCTTGGTCTGGCCGTGCTCTATGTTTGGAGTTTTTCTATTTATTATACGGCTGCTTTATTTACACACAGTTGTATAGGCCTATTTATCATAATGACTGCTTATGCTAGATATAAATAGAGCAGAAATATTTCATTATTTACTGCTCTATTCTAAGAGTAAAGGGAAACATAATATTGGCATTATGATGATTAGCATAGGAAGCATAACATAACAATAGTATATGTCATTGGCCCAGACAAATCGTTACAATTACTATAAATACTAATACTAATACTATAATTGCCATGTGTACATTTTAAAGGCCTATTTATGCTTGATTATCTATGATAAATTGGATATATCACTAGATAGGTGAATATCGATAGCTTCTTAGTACCTGTCTAGTTTCTCGCCCTGCAGAAGCCCTGGACCCCTATTTTACTGACCTCTGCCTCGCGCAGCAATAACTCACGACAGTAATGAACAATTGGCGGAAATACCTCAAAATAAAATCCATCCTCCCAAAGCTCGGGCTCTGACTCTGTCCGCGTGGAAAAACATATCCGTCCGTGACAGCAGTATAATACATCCACAAACCCGGGATCCTCTTTCTCTCTGTCTGCCTCTCTTTCTCCTTTTCTCCCCTCGGTAAACAAACTACAGAGCCCGGACTCCCCTCACGGAAAGTGGGGGTAACCCGCATATAATCAGCATCATATGGCCAAACCGGGGCTCCGGTTTTCTTCCCCGTGCCATAACATCTCGCAGTATTATGCGCACCGCTCACGTGACGCAACGTCAACTTAAATCCCTTTTATTTGAGCCCGTGAATCATTAATGGAGGCAGTCATTGCCCCTGAGGAGAAACGGATCAGTTTGGAGGGAGAAAAAAGAGGGGTATGTGACACTGCAATGTATCTGGCAGAGGAGCAGGTCTCTCGCAGAGAAACAGCTTTTCCACGTGTCGCCCACTCAGAGCCAAAGACTGTTCTGTCCGTTTTAAAGTGCCATATATTTGGTGCCTGTTAGTGGCTGAAAAAAGAGCTAATCCTGCCTGCCTGTGTGCGGAGTTTCAAGTGCAGCCACAGCTCGGAGCCAGGCTACAAACCAGAGTGTTTTGCACTGCAGCGTGATAATTCGCACTATCTCAGATGGAGAGGGCTTTCCTTTACAAAATACCATTTAAGAATGGCATAATGATTACTCATCACTCCAGCAAAGGGCTACTGTGTTCTCTTTACAACACAGCAGCCATGCAGGACTGCCGAGAGCTTTACTCAATATCGCCCCCCCCGTCCACAGTCCGGTTGAAGTACCACTTAATCAGCATTTGGTTCTCCATCAGCAAAAGCCTGCATGCCGTTTGCCAAATGGGGTAAAAAATGTCACACGTTTACCTGTCCTACATAAGGATGGTGTGCGCCCTGGTGGTCGTGGAGCTGTCTGTCACTCAGCAGTAAGCGGAAAGTGGAGGTGAGGTAACCAAAGAGTGGCTGCTCGACCCCGCTGATCACTACATGGACCCCCATTCGACCTAAATGCGTTTATGCGTTTCCTATGACCAGCTGAGTGATGTTAGAAATTATAGGTTTGTGCAACAGGAGAGTATTTGAGCTTTTGAAGGGGGGTTGGTGCTACGGTGGCAGAAATGCCAACTGACATAATTGTGCTATTGGCCAAAACCACTATAAAAACAGCATAACTTTTGCCACTTCAGATTTTGTCAAAAGTCTAGCCCGGAAGAAAGATCTTCTATCGGCACCGTTTGGCGCTTGTTTTCCGTCAACACAGAGCAGCAGGCGTGGAAAAATCCCACCACAACTATTAATCATTCGGGGCGGACATAGACAGCATCCCACTCCCACACCAGCCTTTGTCTTCTCAAACTACAACTTGAGCGGTAAACTTTTAAAGACAGGAACGGAAGCAGACCAGCTCTTATTAATTCAGATTCAACACTTCTAAAACTAATGAAAAGAGGAGGAATTTTAATGATCACGACAAAAAAAAAAGGGTTTTACGCACAGGTTTTAGACTCATGTTTATGTAAAGAAGACTATTTATCTTTTGTTAAACATTGTTTGACTCTGCGTTGTGTTAACTTTCTCTTTGTTTTTCTACAATTGCAGATGTGGAGCTGTCACTATGATTTTATGGCTGTACATGACCGTGCTCTGGAAGTTAATCCCATGCCTTTCGCCACCGCACCTTAACTTTTCCCTGACCCGAGCAGAAGCAGAGAGTCGAGTGGGAACTTATTTTGGGATCGCAAACAAGGAGACGATGGAAACCATGAGGCCCTCAGCTGGTAGTCTACTTTTTTCACATTTGCCCTTTCCTCAAAAGTAATAGTTGAGCAATTATGTTTTTAAGTTTAAACTTTGTTTTGCATGAAACAAATGTAGAGTTATTTACACAAATCAAGGTTCCTGATCACTGTCAGCGAAGAGGAGTTAGAGGCGCAGACCTCTGGATGTTGGCCAGACGGCGGTCCATATCTTCCCACAATGTTGACACTCGGAGCTCTTAACAGCCAGGCTTGGGTTACGGATACACTCAGACAAAGATAACTCTTTCTGCGAGGTTTACATCGGCCAGTATCAAGGCTAATGCGAAATGCAACGCCTTAAGCAAACTTGGAAACATCGCTCATGAAGGCAGACTGACTAGGACAACTTAATTGTTTGCGTAAAGGTGGTTGTAATAAAGCAATTTTCATGTTGAACTAACTGGCTCTTTTTTATGACTGAAAATTATGTATAATATGCTTTTGCTTAACAGCTGCCAGTACACATTTGGAGGTAAGTGCAAAACAGCCCATAAATAAAAATAAACATTTGTATTGTTGACATTGTAACACACTCTAAGGACTCTGTTAATGTTTGACCTGTGTCTATATTCTCTATTGTGTTCATCCTCATTGAAAGGCTCTTTCAAGCAGCAGATGTAATTTGCATTGATATTGTTGTTTAAAAACACTAACTCAAACGACATTCAACTGTGAAAATCATAATACAATGAACAAATACAAAATTTGCCACAGTCAAAATCCATGAACAACAACTATGGTTCCATGTTAAAAGGCAAAGTGTTTTCGTGGTTAACTTTGCAAGCACAAATGCAGAGTGTTGCTTCTTATCGTTATTTTGCAGGTCAACTTTAAGTGATTTTATTACTGAATACTCAGAAACGTTTTAGCCTCATCTGTAAGATAGTGTTACTTCTGCAGCCACATATACACCTATTTTAAAACACATTTGCACTTATCTTATTTGTCTCTTTAGTCTCATAAATCAAGTATTTGCTAAATGAAGGTTGTTGTGATTCACATATACTTTATGTAAAAACACGAGTTTGTACTGGGCAAAGTGCATCTGTTAATGAGCTGTCGATAAATAAAAAAATATAAAAAGAAGAATAAAAAGAATGAGGGTTGAATTGTATCATGCTAACTTCTCCTGGGTTCGAACATTTAGGGAAATTAAGACCAGCATATTTACTGAGATGTCCAAAACAACATTTTCTGTCAATGAAAATGCTTTTCAATCAAATAGACTTATAAAAATAGGACCGTTTAAGTTAAATAAACTTAACCTAAAAAAGCTCAGATTAGAAAAACTCAGAAAATGCAACAATGTTAGGTTGGAAATAAAAAAAGATTGTATTTTATTATACATTAATAGTCGACAGAAGATAATTAAATCATGCCCACTTCTAGGATATTTTATATTTTATATATATATATATATATATATATATATATTTGTTTAACATCTACAACAAATTTAAGAAGTAAAAACAACCAAATCTACTCACAAGTCATGACGGTCTGTGTCCCGCAGACAGAGTTCTGTCAGGGGAGAAGAGATCTGACTCGCACCATGCAGAGGATCACTTCAAATGAAAATAAGGTAGATTTTCAGATCTATTTCTGACCCCGGGGCATTCATTATTCAACAAGTCACGTGAACTGGCGAATTAAAATTTCAGTACATTGGAAGTGACCTCTATTCGCGAATCAAATGACTTGACATCTTGTAATTTAACTTTGGACTTGTTGGAGTCTGCGCAAAATCGGTCCCAATCAGCCTCAACGCCATGTTCTGTACAGCCTTCATGTCTACAGCAACTGATTCACAGAAAGATGAATAGCATGGTATATTCTAAGAGCGTTTTTATTATTGCCGTAGGATTATTTCTCTAATGTGCCAAACAAGTGAATGTGAAAGTGAAAGTAAAAGATGCAAAAAAACGGTATATCAAATAAATAAAGCTTCTACTGAAAGATTGTTTGAATTCGGAAAATGTGGCTTTTACTGTGGGAATTTTTGTGAATATCAATTGTATCTAATATGAAATGCAATGCAACTCCATTCATTACTATATTGGCATATTGAGCAGAAACCATCAGTGACACAACATATTGGAAATCATAATAAATTGCATGCTAAATGCCAGTTTCAGCTCATATCTGCACAATCTACCCTGACAGGAGTGTTTCGGTGATATATTGCAGAAGAGCTGTCTCAAAGAATAACTTTGGGACAATTCATGGCTCAGATTCACACCTTAAAACCGTTTTTGTTTCCGCGCTGTCTCTGGGTAAATCTTAAATGGGAAGAAAAAGCTCGCGGAGGTCTCAGCACTGATGTATGGTCTGAACATTGTGTGTGTCGAAAGGTCAGGGGGCAGAAGAAGTGCTCTGAGCCAGTGATTGGCCAGAGCCTGCCGTGTCCCCTGGTTGAACTCCCTATTGTTTGGATGAAGCAGGTAGCGACCAACACTCACACTCCGGTGCACTGAGTTTGGCTTCGATCTCCTTATAATGGCAAGAGATAACAATATGTTTGGCCGGATACATTTAAAAATGTAAGGTTGGTTTGATTTCCGTGAAAGTAGAAAAGCCAGCAATGCTCAAGCAGCTGAAATCTGCCTCCTTAATTCAAAGCTCGTCTCAGTTTTATCCCTGAAATGTCCATGACATTCTTGCGCATTTTACGGATTAGAACAGTCAGTTGAGCATGATGACATTATTCAGTCAGCGAAAAAGTATTTATGGTAGATAGGGAGACGCTTGCCTAAACATAAACATGTTACATTAATTAAAACACCTGAATATGTTTTCCTTTATGTAAATCTTGCTTTAACAGAATTTGCGTAGTGTTTGCATTGATTAACATCAAATATAGCAAATATATTTTGATTATATTCAGAGAAAGTAAAACATATAAATATAAATTATTATGCAAGCGTGGGGCAGTAAATTATCCAAACGGACAGTGGCATGCAATCACAATTTTACGCACACATCTCCAAACACAGATAACGGATTAAAGGCTTTAAATACAAGTAATAAAATAAGTCCACAACCACGTATTGAATTGAAAAAATAGCATGAGCACAAAATATATGAGTTTGGAAATGCAATCTCCTTCTTTTTTTAAAAAGGGGGAACGCCAATGCTCTTGCCATGTCAATACGCGCGGCTTCGCATGTACATGTTGCTCTCAATTGAAATCAGTATTTGCAGGGACAAAATATCCAAAGCCAATTCGACGTTATTAAGTGAAGTACATATTTATTTCACAAGGACACATTGAACCTACACTATAGCCTACATCACAACCACAATACTGGGACAACACATACAAATATTCACAGTTTAGAACACAGCACAACATGGGACGGACTAGCACAAATAAACCTAGACTTTACAACACCAACAAACATAATTCTACTTGACGAAATGCTTTCCTTATTGTGCCTTCATTATGATCTGCCTATGTACATTAAATGTGAATGTCACCTGGACTATATTCAACAGTAAACCAACCCACTCAAACACACAAACACTGTTACTCTGACTGATGCCTTACCTCTAAATCAGCCGTCTGGTTTTCTAACAGGCATCTAGAGTCTCGCTAAATATCTTTCAAGTATATTAGAGCTTTCCATGAGCAATAATAAAAAAATAATGAAAATAAAATACTCAGAGAACATAGAAAAAATACTGTTTACCTCACTGAATGTTAACTGTAATGATACATATTGATCCTACATTTGAATGTGCGTTATCCTTCTTTCATAATAATAAACAAATATAGAAACACTTCAGTGGCCACCGTGGCAATAAAAGGTGAATTTCAAGCTTATATGAAGAGGGCGAGGACGACAGGAGAGGGAAAGGGTACAAAGGACGTGACAGGGGCCCAATGGCAGAGGCAAGGTGAAATAGATAACACCATGTGTGTAAAATACTGAGAATCGGTCCATCAAATTCCACTTGTGATATTTGCCATCTCAGTCTGGATTGGGTTTTGTGGTACGGGGTTAATTTCAGCACTATAGACCTGCGGTGCACGGCGTGGGGACAAGCTGCTGGCCTGTTTTGATTTGCTGCTGCTGGGGCCCCGAGGCTGAGGACGAGGCCGAGCTGGAGGAGCGGATCTTCGTGTTGGGAAGCTTGTGCTCCTTCTTCCACTTCATCCTCCGGTTCTGAAACCAGATCTTGACCTGGCGCTCGGACAGACACATGGTGTGCGCAATCTCCACCCGCCTGCGCCGGGTCAGGTACCGGTTGAAGTGGAACTCCTTCTCCAGCTCCAGAGCCTGCTGGCGGGTGTATGCAGTGCGGGACCTCTTGGGCACTCCTCCAGTGTAATTGGGATTGACTGGAGGAGAAAAAAGCCATACACAGGCATGCAAGCAGGTGTTAAACGCAGGCTGATAGCGTTTAATCCAAAGCCCTATAGTTCCTCCAATGGACACATTACATGGTTGGAAAACGATAAAACATTTCTGGGTTTGTTGGGAAATCACATCCGCTCTGTTTGTTTTACTCTCAAGCCTTGTTTCAGTTTACGGACATGACCTTAATGTGGAGATGCCGAGTGTACAAGCACTCGCATCCAGGGACATATCAAGCTTAGAAATGATTAACAAAACAGCGGGGTTGGATATTACAGTTTGGCTCGGCTCCAGTGGTGGAGGTACTTTGGGTTAAAAAGCAACAAAGGCACATGGCCCCGACAGACGAACACAGGCAATAAAATTTACGAGGGTCCTTAATTACCGACCCTGCTGCTCGATAGTCGTAAATTGCTGTTGTAAGGGCTGCTAGTGCTGCCTCAATAGGCGTGCGTGTGTTCCAGTGGTTGTTTCTCAGTGGTTCTGCTATTAAACCGTGACGATAACTCACCGTTGTTAACGTGGACCTTTTTCATCCACGGATAGACCACTGGCTCCTTGCCCTTCGCTACGCCGGGGTATGCCTCACTGGCGAGGCTGCAGTCTTTGCTGGCATTTTCCCCTGCGCCACCGTCTGGGGCCGCGGAGAGGCGAGGACCGTGGCTCTGTGGAACCGGCTGCGGCTGTGCGTGATGCCCATCCCCGAAATCATCGAGTCCGGTAGCAGGGACGTTACCGTAATCGTATCCCGTTTCTGTGTAGTTTGACCTCGGATAGGATGGTTCTTCGTGATGGGGGAAGCCCGTATCTTTTGGCCGCTCGTAGTAATCACCAGCGTTGGGGATGTATCCGCTCTGCTGATATTCGTCGCATGGAGGAAAGGAAGGCTCGATATAGTTGGAGTTTATCAAGTAGGAACTCATGGTCATTAATTTGTGAAGTGCAACAATACTAATTTTTATCGCGCTGTCGTTTTTCTGATCTCCACAAAACCCTCCTACTCCCTGTCAAATGTACAAAGTTGCCTGGTCACGTGTGAAGCGCCACCAATCACGGCGTGTCCTGTGGGCATCATGTAAACAGGAACCAATGGAAAGCATGGCATTGGTACCACCAACACTGCTCGGACTGGCTTACGTTGATGTTTTCCTTATTAAATCACCGTATATAAAGCAAAACCAATCAACTAACTTGTTTACTGCATGAGGCCAAACTTATGTGGGTGAAGTATTCCTGCTTGTGCAAAAATAATTCCACCTCATCTGAAAGTGAATATGAAATGAAAGCCCTGACAAAATAAAGGTTATCACAAACAAAGGAATATTTCTCGCTGTGACGTGAATGTCTGTTGTTGGAGTTTAAAACGTGTTGAATCCCAAAAATGTCGCTGAACAGGGGCACTGGCAGCATAACAACAGTGCAAACTATATTGTTGTATATCAGCTTATTTAAATGATCAAAAAAGAAACCCTTGCACAAGCTTCCTGCAAGCAATGACATTATCACTGAAGACACACGCCTGCATATAAAGCATAACTCTTGTGCATCCTTGTGAATACACGCCTATGACAAACACACAAACACAAAACACTCTTCTCTCTCTTTGCACATCGGCGTACATGCATATGACCCCTTTTTTCGTTTCAAATGTAATGATGTTTTCTGCACATTTGCCAGGACATAGCAATGATGTCAGACTTGATGTTGTATTTATTTTACCACGTGAAAGTTATCAGGCTCTGTTGGCACGGCCATCACGTATTACCAGTTATATGCGTTACCTGCCATTGAAATCCAAACACTGAACAAACACTTGCAAGTGGATCTTTCATTATGCATGGCCACACGCCAAACCAAGGCGTGGGATTGTGAAACAGCTCAGACATTTTATTTTTTAAGACATACCACAATTCTCTGTCCAGCACAGACAATCTCACACCCAATACAATTTAACAAATCTGTTTGAATTGTGAAATATATAAAAAGTTGTCCAGAAACAATTTTCCACTATTTCAATACAAATATGCAATATCTTGATCCGTCTCCCCTACGCGTGCCGCTGCACCACTTTAATGCAAACAGCCAGGCAAAGATACTGATATTAGCCTGATGTGTTGTAACTATCAAAATATATGACATGAGATAGTGAGTACTAAAAGTTAAAAAGGGCAAACATTCAGGTTCATTAAGAAAATGAAAAAATAATAACATTTAATATAATTATTTGAGGAAAGATCTCACATAGATTTTAGAATAATAAAAAAATAATTAATAAAAAAAAGGTCAACTGCACATTTTTTAAGGTAGAGAATATAAAAGTTTCTGACCGTGCTCCTCGCCATCGGCCATCACGTCCAGGTCCTGTTTCTTCTCCATGTCCGAGGGGCCTCACTGTATATGTGTCCCAGGAAGATGCAGCAGCTCTTCACAAAGCTGATCCACACTGTCCACGTCAACAAGGCCTCTGCATGGAGAAACAAGAGGCCAAACTTCGGAAATATTGAAAGCTTTCTTTTCTCTCCTTTTTTTCTTTTTTCCTTGGTCCCCCCTATTCTATTCGCTCCTCTAAACAGAGATAACTTCTGCCTGACCCCAAAGTGACACCGTTTCCATTTTGTTTCTGATTAATCTTTCCCATTGACAGTCTTTGTTAAACAACAAGGCGTGCCCCCTTTCCAAAGAGGCGACATTTTCATATATGTTAGACGCAGTGACCTGAGGTTCACCCCGGACTTGGACTTCAGTTTTGCATGGTCTGTTCAGCTCTGGGGAGTTGGGGGAGTACTTAGCGCAGGTCAGCACCTGGAAAGGTCCCTAAAGGATTTTAAAACATGTGCAAAAGACCTCAAACTATCCCGAAAATCACACGTCGCCCTACGAGTTAGACAAGGTGGAATAGGGGTCTTCCAAGATCTGCTGCAAATGGGCTGATGTATTTAGAATAAAATACAGCAGATTTTTTCTTCAAAAATCACTGAATCTCTAGATTTAAAAACAGGTGAATTATTGACTTTCCCACAGCAACGAGAGACATGCCTCAGTTTATCCTCCTCAAAAATTGCTTTTCTCTCATGTTAGCACACTGTTGCTGCAAGGCAAAGCTGCTCCTATCTCGTGTATCTTACAGGCTTTCTCACACCTAACTCATTGTAAATGGCAGCTGATGTACTTTCCGCCATACATCTACTGTATCTGTATGGCCGAGAGACCACCTGAGAGGCAATATGTCAACATAATGTCAGCGGTAAGACTACTTCACATCATATCTAAATTTACAGTCTGCTGCCATTCTATTATATATAGGTGCTGAATAAATATGGGCCAGATCAGCTATTATCCACTCTGATTTTACAGGTCATTGTAGTACTTGTTGCTATATGGACTACTTTTGTTTCTTTAATAGCTTTATTAAAACATATTATTGTGATTCAAAAATCCGGCTCAGCCATACAAAAGAAGCATTTTAGATAAGACTGCAGGTAATACCTCCGTTATAGTCCAGGCCTGCAAGCTGCTGCTGTGTGTTTCAATATAATAAAGCATCTGGAAATCACTCGAACTATGCACAATATATAATAGGATAATAATCCTCCAATTGACCATTGGAGCACAAGGAAGCGATGGCAAACTAGCTTACACTATCTAAGCAATTTTCCACTAAATTTAAAAATCCATTTCACTCTTAATGTGAATAAAACCCGTTAGAGCTGTGCGTTATGGATTTTATTTAAGGTTATAATAATCTAACAGCCAGATCACGGTGTTCCCTTTCAGAGCATATACTGTGAGGTGAAGGTCTATTTAAGCAATATACATCATGCTGACAGTTTACTGTAAATTTAGATTATCAGTGAAGTGCTGAGACAATAGTGACAGATTGCAGATGGTGCTCACAAGGTCTCCTGTCTATACGGATCCCTGACGGTGGGATAAAAAATCTTCTTTGCATCCAAGATGTGGCAATGATTCGGGCCAGAAAATACCTTTCACAGCTTTATGGACATATTTTGATACAGGTAAACGCTCATAATACAAATGTTTTCTTTTATACAGTGCACCACTTGTGATTGTCCTTTTAAACCACTTCACTGCAAGGACTGGCAACGGAACAAGCTTTCACAATAACTCAGGATGGGCACTAGCTTTTATATACAGCTGCAAACTTTGATTAGACTAATAACAGTGACCTTCAGGCCTACAATGATCGTTAATAAAGGCAAAGACAAGCTGCTTCTTCCTTTAGAAAGTGCATAGACAACTTCTTTATTCTTATAAAATAAAGAGGGCGTTTCAACTGATAGTATTGTGCCAGTATATTTCAGAGATTGACGACACAACTAATGTTTCCAAAATGGTTCCAAAGAGTACATAAACTGAAAGGTTCATGTGCACTTTGGAGTTAGTTAACAATAAGACTGTCAACGTTTGAATTAAAAATAATTGAAGACATATGAAATTGTGCATTCTGTTCAAAAAATGTGGATTCATTTGGAAAGTATTTAGCCGTCTATCTGGTCGCTTTCATTCTTCATTGATTCAATAAACAAAGTTATGAATTAAAAAATGACTCGATTTTGAGAATTTCATTTACACATTTTTGCATTTTAACACTTTTTAAAGTGCAATATATGTTGTGTCTGCGTGTGACTGTCTACAAATGTGCTAAATGAAAAATGAAATAAGATTGTCTAAATATAACTTTGTTTTATTTGATGCTCAGATGACAGTTAAAAAGTTTATGTCTGAAAAAGTCCGAAATGATTGGGCCTTTCTATAAAAAGGATCCAAGGTTTAATAAGTGTTTAGTTTTGGTTGGATTATTTTTTAAATAAGTTGTTATAATATTGTGTGTAGAGTTGCGTTCAAGAATTCATGCACTTTTGCCGAGACCTAAGCATGGGTAATGTTAACTGAAGTATTAGTTTCTGGTGTAAATTAGGTTTAGTTATAATCTAGATTTGTTCACATTTATTTGTAATGGTGTCTCCCTACAAACATCTAAAGGTTCAACATTTTAGTTTAAAGAAATTGCATTCATTCCCCATGCGGTAAAAAAAGGCCCAGCAAAAATAATTACGTATATGCGTAAAACCTATTTATTAACAAAAAATGTGTTTTTTGTATTTTCCCTACGAGTCACAAGAAACATCTGTGCCATTTCAGTTTTCTTAAAAGGCTTCTATTCAGAGGATCAGGAAGAGAGGGGCTAAATGTTTTTTAAGGGGTCCGGGGGCTCAATTTGGGGGCTGTGGGTCTTCCCATTACCCTGTGACCGGGTCGAGAGTATCAATCCTCAAAATGCAAATGTTGCCCTCGTCCCTAAACATATCAAATGCAATTTATTCAAAGGAAATTCACCAATCAACCGCCCTAATAAACGCCAGCCACTCAATCTTGTTGCTGGGGACGGGTGGGGGGTCCCCTCCCCCGGTCCCAAACGCGAGGTCACTGCGCTTTCAGGGTTCACCTGGAGTGCACTGTGCAACATATGTAATTCAAAGCTATTCTGTCTTTTGTGTGGAGAGTCAAGATCGCTATTATAAGGCTGGCATCAAGCTCCGAGTGAACAGATGACGGAGACTTGTTCAGCGCGTAAACTTTTGACCCCAATTTTTCCTCCTCTTCTGCAGCTATCTCGCTCTCATCTGTCCCAGCCCAGTGAGATATCTGCCCCTCTCAACGACAAATGTATTTGAAGAATGTGTATATCTCTTGCCATCACGATGATCATTTTCACAATTTTCATAATTAGAGGAGATGCCAGCACAATACCTAAAATGCGATTGTAGCGTTATGATGTTTCCAACGAGGGAGTGAAAAGATAAATCCAATAGGCTCCCACTCAAGACTAATAGGGCTGTAAAATATGCAAATCATTCATTAGCTTATAGAGAAAATAAAAGCAGCCAAAAGTCTTTGTTGGAGGCAACGCGTAAAGTTAAACTCCCCTCTCTCCAGTTTCTCCTCCAGTGCAGGATGTTACCACAGGCTCTGTGTCCCTCGGTAAATTCATTTTTAACGCATTATGCTTAGGCAACGCCAAGCAAACTTGTCATTAACGTGAAGGCGTGTGTGTGCTCGGTACCATGGATGTGTGAGTAGTTTCCCTCTCTCCATACTGCAGGGTGACAGTGAACTTGGCCTAAAGCGAGCTCTGCTGGTGGCTCTGAGAGGATGCAGATTTATCTTGGTGCTGTGGCTGACCTCCAGATGAACCTGCAACGCTTCTCTCTCTCTGCCTGGCAGTATGCCGCACATGGGGCCCTGTCGAAATGACTCCTCATGAAATATTGGCAATGGGTTTATTTTCCAAATAGCCGCACTCTCAAAGTGTCTTGTTTTATTTTCAGTGTGTGTAAAATCGAACTAGAAAGATGCAGCATCTTCTTAGGATGGACTCATATGCATAACAATGAGTATATAAACCGAGCGATTGCTGCAGATTTGTAAGGTGTTAATTACATTTGTATCAAACTGCTTTCAGTTTGATAAAAAAAAGAAACGAGGAAAAAATTTAATAGATTTTGGAAGAAATCCACCTTGCATTTCCAGGTTTTTTCCCCACAATGTTGCCAGATAATAAATTCTACTACCGAATTGGTGGAAGTCCAAAAACAAATTTTAAGTAATAAAGAATATTTTTTCAAAAAAATGCAATGGTTCTAGACATAATGATGCAAACACAAAGAAAACGTGGTGAGTTATGATGGCTGGCCGCCCAGTCACTAACTCAGATACATGTAGTCACAAGTGATTTTGGTTCCTAAAACTATAGGCACAAAAAGGTAAATCCACCAAAATGTATATAGGATTTCATATTTGGCCTCGAAGTTTCGAATTAGAAACGGCCGCACCGAGTCACACACCTTTTAGTTAAAAAAAATACGCATGCAGGAAACTAAAACTAAAAATGAAAATGAGTTTTAAAAAAAGTCAAAGATTATATATTTTCCCCCCATTTTAGTCCATGGTCTTTTGGTATCAGGGTCCGGATGGTGGCTGGTTTGGCCCCAGCACTGATCGGACAAGAGGTCACCACAAAGCGAGAGTGACTTTTAAAAGGTAATTTGAACTTTTCAACCCCAAACACAAAACAACGAGGCTGACACAAAACGGAATTCCTTTTCAAATGTTTGTTCCCATGTTGTGTTTACTTGACACTTTACAGCCTTCCCTAAAGCCATACACTGTGCCAACATGTGGAGCGCAGAGCTCAGCACAACAACGACTGCAACTTTTTTCCATGGATGGACCCACAACTTCCAAAAAGTCATAAGCAGATATAGAATCCAATCAAACGGAGCTAGCAGTAAATCTGTAGGCCTGCACTAACGCCTAACTTTATCGCGGAAACCTCCACACACACTTCCCTTTTAAACTTTCTGATTCACGGTCTGTGAATCCTCCAATGTAATAAAACGACAACAACTAGAAGTTTGTGGGGGTGGAAATGGACACTGCGATAATTATCCAACATGTAAAAATGGATTATGAGTTACACCACAGATGGAGGGAAACAAGTTACACGGGGAAGGAAGCAATTAAATAGCCATGAGCCGGACCCAACCCTGCGCAACATCTGCCGAGACCAGGATTCAGCACTGCACGACTGACGAATTAGTGTAATGGACTAATAGGGACAGATAGAGGGAGCAAATACAATAATAAGGCTGTTTAACACAGGCGGGCTGTTCTCTGGCTACCGGATAGTCTGCAGAAACTTACCCAGAGACGCGGTCCTCATCCTGGAAAGCGTCCGGTCCATTCTGAGCAACACAGAGCAATAGACACGGTCTGTACCGGTCAAGTAACACTTACAGCCTGCAAAGAGAGAGTCAGACTAAGCTTCGCCGTCAGTGCGATTATATGTTATGTGCAATATACTGTCAACTCCCCAAAACCATAAAACTTACTTTAATGGCCACCACGTGACCGTTTATGGCCAGTGAGCCTATCTGGCCGCGCTCTGGATGATTTTTACGATCTAATTCATAGACAAAACCCCCCATTCATTTAGCACCCAAATGTCAGAGAGCCAGAATCGGCCCTAATAAAGTTTACAGCTGAAAAAGTCGAGCTGATTCTCCGAGAATAGCCCATGAGTCTGTGCGCAAAGGGGACGCCTGGCCATGCAGCCGGTTAGTGGCCAAGGACCCCAAAACACCCCCATCTCCAGAGCAAGGTGAGTGAAATATGAAGTTTTCATTCGAGGGGGACCTGTTGAATTCAAGGATTTGATTTGACAATTTTCTGAAAGCTCACTTAAAGATTTTAGACCAAACAGCAAGGTCTGACTCCTCGCTTCTTTTACGCGGTCGTGGCAAATGCGTAAACGAATCTGGATTCCACAAAAAAGTTCACTCAATATAATGTTGCCGTTCCAGTAGAAAGTTTATTATGGCCATCATCATCATCATCATCATCATCATTATTATTATTATTATTATTATTATTATTATTATTATAGTATATTCTTGACTTCCAGTCTTTGAAAAACATTTACAAAAAGCTAAACACGATGGAGTTATACACATAGGCAATGCGATTTACTGTGGGGAACCTCCACATAAAACAGCTATGAGAAAACAAAGATAAAACTCGTTTTACTCAGATGTTGCGTCCAGGTGAACAACGCAAACAGCAGCAAAAAAATAATACAAAATAAAGATGCAAGGCACAGCTATACTGTACATACAAGACTGAGTCTGCACCTCTGTCCATACATGTGTTTACAATGCACACAATGACCACACAAGGCTCACGCTCTGCTGGTTCTACTTTTGGAAGCAAGTTATCTGACAAATTGATACAATACATCACACAAATAAATACATACATATACAGTACATATAGAAAACGAAGGCTAAACAGCTCAACCTCAACCCTCTTTTTATTAGGCTGGTATTGTTCTTATCACACAACTTTTACTGGATTTATTTGCGGTGAATAGGTAGCATTTCAAGCGTTTTTCTTTTTTTTCTTTGTCTGAACAGGAAATAATTTAAACAAACATTTATTTTCTCTCTTTTTCTTCTAAATCTAGACATAACTGTACATAATGTATTTTTTTCCTTACATAAGCATTACCACGGTGGAAATAAAGAGTAAATAATATTAAGGAATATAATGGGACAGTTGCTGGACATACAATGGGCTCAAGTGGGATGTCCCTTGTCCCGCACACGGCCCGTTCACAAGTCTCTGCGCTTTTTGAATTAGGAGGAGAATGTGATATGACAATCTTTGTTTTATTTTTTTTATAGTGCTCGTTATCAGGGGTAGAGGAGTGAATATCAAGGCCTGTAGCCTCCCCCGCCTGCAGACGCCATGTTCATGCTCTTCAGCTTGTTGTCTTTCTTCCACTTCATCCTGCGGTTCTGAAACCAGATTTTGATCTGTCTCTCTGAGAGGCAGAGGGCATGGGCTATCTCGATCCTCCTTCTGCGGGTCAGGTACCGGTTGAAGTGGAACTCCTTCTCCAGCTCCAGGGTCTGGTACCGGGTGTATGCAGTCCTGGCTCTCTTACCCTCTGGTCCTGACAAATCTTTTTACATAAAGAGAGTGGGAAACACATCAGATACAGTAAATGTAAAAACAAATAGTGCAGCAACTTTGTTTTATTACAATTCTTGCATTTTTTAAAACGTTGCCTGTTTTGGTTTGTGGTTTTAAAGTTGGAACATGACTAAGTAGATCCCTTAGTTATTGCAGAAACAACCAGTAGCGTTAGTAAGATTTACACATTTTCAACTGCACCTTACGAAAAGTAATTCACATGGTCAACTTTGGGTATTTGACCTTAAAATAAATACAGTATATTTCATTACAACAAATTCTCAACGTCCAGGTTATATCGAAAACATTTGAACTGACTTTAAAGTTATATTTTATCTCATACAATTATTGCGTACCTAGTCTATGGTAACAGTACTGAACAACACCAAACAGGTGAGATGCGCATGGCGCCACATGCCCCTTTGTATAGTAAACATATTTTCTACTAAAATAATCAAAATCTGTGCTGTTTTGATAACATTTAAAACGTCTCAATAATATATAAACACAATTACACCTTAACCCAGCAACAGATCTATAAAATCAATACAACATTACTAAAAGAAAAGCACTTTACCATGATTTATGTGAAGTTTTCTCATCCACGGGTATATCTGTGGCTGTGATGAGTCGGTGACATTTTGAGGAGTTGTTGGTGCGCTTCCCGTAGGTTTCTCTTCCTCGAGGGGGGAAGATTTGGACACACAGTCCCGGCTGAGCAGCAGCGAGCCTCCGTTAGAGCTCGAGCACGGGGTGTTTAAAGAGTTTTTCACGGCTCGGTGTTGAGATTGAGTTTCGTGGACCGGGGAAGAGGTGGCGACCGAGGAGCACGGTAGTGGGTCAGGTGGTGGCGAGAGAGACGGTGTCCTGTTGTTGCTGGCAGACTGGTTGTACCTGACCGGCTCCACCGAGGGTGTTGTCGCCGCTGAATGACTCGGGGAGTAGCCTGGTGTCTGCTCGTCGCCCACAAAGTGTCCGGTACCGGTCCGACCAACTGTTAGGTCCATCCCGTTGTAGCCATAGCCATACCTGTTCGAGTGCATGGCTGTTGAGTCTCTGTATTGCTCGTTTTCCGTATTATGGTCTCCATAATTATGTAACTGGAAGTCCGCGCCATTGGGATACCGACCGCAGAATGAGTTCACAAAATAGGAGCTCATTTGTTGACAATTCCTCCGTTCGCTCGTAGTAAGTATTGTTGTTGTTTTTATAAAATTCAAAGATAAAATACTAAACCTGTGTGCTTGATTTGTGGCTCTTATGGTTTAGCGCGTCCTATAGCACCCTTGCACAATTTATGATGAATTATGGAAATGAGTGGGACATGGACTTGATTCTCTCTTACGTAGGCACCCAAATATGGGGTACGGCATAGTATCACGTGCTTTTGTTGACCAGTCGTAAATCCTGCTTGGTGACCTCCAGAGGTAAACTCGTGCACGGAGGAAATACTGGGTGGGATGAGAAGGGAGCGCGCCCCATGCGCTCGTGACTATAGGGCCAACTCTGAGCTACGGTTTGGGTGTTTTGAATTGTCGTGGTGCGCCATCCTCTGGCCAAACTGGCGCACTGCCTGTCTGCGGAGCTCTGTGAGGCGTGGGCTCCACACGGGGTCATTCGGAGGTTAACGACCATTGCGGCAAAAACCAACGGGCTCCTAAACAATACAACAAGTGACATGCTGAGCGTGCAATCTCTGCGAGGAAAGTGTACAGAAATAATTCAATCAGAATCTGTTATTCATGTTATGATGAGGTGATGAGTGCAAATAGTGTGCGCAGTTAATAGAATAAAAGCCCATTCAAAACAGGGCTGTGTTTTTTCTCTATAGGCTACACTTTTTTTTATAATCATAAAACAATTGAAGAGCGACTAATGTGGGAAAATGTGAATAAATATTTCGGGTAGGATAAAAGCTAAACATCACATTATCGAATATTAACACATACACTTCCATTCGAGGCCTGTACTTTATGCCACGTTGAATAATTAATACATTTAAGCATAGGCTATGCACACACGTAAAGCCACGATACTGTCTATTTTAGGCTATTTAAATGTAAAGATTTCCAACAACAAGCTCTCCAATGATATAATAAGTTGTTGCGTGTTTTATTACGCTTTCGTATAAAAGCAAAACCTCATTATATTGAATTGTAAACACTCAACATCTTTTCAATCGTTTTTTTGTGTGCTTTTATGCTTTGGATATATCAACAGATCGAGAACAAAACCCAATGTGCTCTATGGGCAGCTTGGTGTCAAGTCACCGTGCAATTTATAAAAACAAGAGACGGAATTTGAAGTTATTGAAAAAGGAAATATTCGACACAATGAATGGATGAAATGGGGCCAAAATGTTTAATGTAAAATTATTTCACGCCTTATTCAGATGATAATGAAGAGTTTCGATATTTGCATTGTGCCATAATGCATCCATTCGGATGGCTGAACGTTATATCACAAAAAGGTATCATCGTAGTATTTGATGTTCCTTTTAATGCGTTACATCTTTTTATGATATACCATTTTTTGTGATATTGCCATAAACGTTTTAAAGCAATTGTCTCATCGGTCGATTACAATACAGCAGAAGCATGAGATGGTTATCAATACATAATTCAAACTTTCAGGGAAAACGTTGCCTATACGTTAGAAAAAACGAAGTAGTTCTAGCTCTAAATGTACCCTGGCCAATGCACACATTATAAATCATCTACTATTACCAATGTTCACCCTGAGCAGGAGTACAAAATCAGAAGACCCGCAAACAGACACGACGCCTAAATGGTGGCATGACGCCTCGTCCGTTTGGTTTTCTCTTTGTGGAATTTTTATGGCACTTTCGTCTCTTGAAGGCAGCGGCTTGTCCTTTGCTTTCTTCAACATGCTATTTCCCAACAGCAGCCCCTTTACACAGCACAAGCCCCATCATGTGTTTCTGACAAACATATGAACCAGAGATTATTTATTCTGCTACAGGTATGTGCTCCCTTTGCGGTAACAATCCCCCAGAACGCACGGTGTGAGGAAGGGTGAATACCCTGCTCACAAAATCCAGTTGGCCCACACTAAGAGATGACCTACGGGGTGTGTGTTCAGTCATGCTCCAACAGCTGATTTATGGCTGGCCAATGGCAACAAAGTTCCCACGAACATTATTTCAAGCCAGGGACACACCCAGGAACTAAATAAGGAGCAAAAAGAAAGGAGATGAAAGAAGTGAGTGCGCACTGTTGTCAAACAGGTTGGGCTGGGAGCGAGGGGGCCAAAGCTGCAGAAAACAGGAGGGAAGTGCACTCTGCAGGCACCTTTGCACACATACACAACAGCGTCTTAGAGTATAGCAATTCAATACTTACTGAGAATATTTTAATTTCACTTAATGCCTAAATTACGCACGGCTGTAAAAACGTATTGAACGCACACATGCAGGCTAATTATTTAGATAGAAACGTGATAGAATACGAACAGCAAAGCGATCCTCAAAAATACTGGAGAAAAAAACGATTGGATATTGAAAGCAAGAGCAGTCAAAGCAAAGCTATTGGTTTTGTGAATTAGCCTACAATTGTAATATGTAGATTTCGGATATGGACATCAATGCACACCATATTTGATTAAAGTAACTATACATTCCCTTTTGCAGGATTCATCTTGCAATAATCTGTCCATGCTTTGAATTTAAATCTTCAGAAGTTGATCGACTAGTAATTTACCGCAAGAAACAAATTACTGCAGTGTCTCAATATTCTACATTGGGCTCGCTAAATGCATGCAAAGAAACATCGTCTGAATTCGATTGGAGGGAAGCATCTGTATGTTTATTTAAGGTCATTCATGCGATAAAATAATCCTGTTTTTGTCACTGAAAATGTGCCTGTTTATAAATTCAATGTGCATCATCCAGCATGCACCTGTGTGACTAATAACACAGTAAAGCATGGTGCATTTAAACACACAAGTTAGACTTGTCTCTCCAGCCTGCACTGCAGGACATTTGCAGCAAAAACGGACAAAGCTGCAACCAAAGCAACCCCAGTGTGTCCACAGGAGGGCGTTAAAGAGCACCTCTTTTAGATGGCATCTGCCTAATGATTTTTGCATCAAAAAGTCCATCCACATTCAAATCCAACAACAAACAAATACGGCATAGAAAGCATGCAAAAGCCAACAGGAAGATAAAGCAGCACTTGTGTTAACTAATTTCCGCTTAATCAGATATTAAGCTTCCGCAATTGAAATCATAATCAAATCAAATAACATTTAACCATGTCTTCCAACCGGTGGATATTTAACCAGAAAACAATAAGTAGCAATACTTGAACACAACTGTATTATTCTAAAGGTTGATCATTGTAAATTGATAGAAAAAGCAAACGTTTAATACGTTTAATTTGTCTTACCTTGTGATGGTTTCTGCCTGTGAACAGGGGGAGGTGAGGAGAGGGAGTTGGCAGGTGCTGACGGCCGGTGACGGAGGGAGGTATCCAGCTGAGTCCCTGGACGGAAACTGGGACTCCTGGGGGTCAGTGACGCACCGGGGCTCCGTCCACCCATCATGCCCAAACGACAGCAGGGCACCCTCAACGATCCAGTCATGACACAAAGCAAGCTCCTGCCCGACCGAGAGAAAACTCCAAATTCCAAAACCGGTATAAAACTGTAGAAGGTCGCTGGTGGAAAACAGCCGCATGGAAGCCCGAGACCGTTAAATGAAAGGCAGCTCTATTCCGCTATTGGAAATTATATATAAAAAGTTCATGTTCATGGCTCCCTGCCACGTGACAAGCTGCGACCAATGGGAAGACGAGTCGGGTCGTAAAGTTGTATTGCCAGGTTGTAAATTTTCATAAACAACAACGGATTTATGACCCAGTGCTGGAGGAGATGGGAAGCGAAGGGAGGGGGGGAGAAGGGGGAGAGAAAGGAGAAGGAAGGGGGCAGGTCACCGTGAGGCGCCATCTTACCGAGGACAGAGGGAATGCAGAGTTCAACAGCAATTTCCCTTCATCTGCAGCCTGCCCCATCTCGCATCCTCATAGTTCACATTCCCAAACTAAAGTGTTTACCTTACACTCATAATGGACTGCAACAAGTTTCATTACATGCAACCTGATATTGGCGTCAGTCAACAGCACTGACTGGAAGCAACATATTATTACTCAACCGGTACATGTTATTATGACTGATGATTATGATCATATTTGCTGTGGGTAACTTAATATTACATGCAAACAAATGCTTGGTAATAGAAAAAGCATGTAATGTCATGCAAATATATTTTCATTTTCATTATTTAAAACATCCCCAGAGGTATACGGTTTTTTAATATTTATTGGTTTACATGTTACTTATAGGCTACAACTAAACGTTGGCACTAAATATGTATACATCACAGTTTTTGCACATTTTGAGTTTACTTGTTGTACACGAACAAAAATAAATGCCTTTATAGGCTGCTAAAATGTACTGCTGTTAAAATAAAAGTGCATGCGTTTATTTTTGTTTTAGCATTCACAGACACGTAGCTATCAGTCATTTAACCTGAACATATTTCTTAATGAAAAAGGCAAGAATAGTTTTATAATTGCATGGATAAGACTTCAAACGTTCACGTGAGGGTGTTGCAATAATAAGCTATAGCTGACTTTCCTGGAATCTGAGGTAGGTTACATATGAAGGTCATATCAAAACAAACACAGTTATGGGATGTATGAGGGGCAAATAGTAGCCAGGTGTCGAAAACAGGCACATTTACATTCTAAGTGAGTTATATTTAAAAAATAACACTAAAAAGTAACAGTTACTGAAATATACAGAACCATCTAAATCACAGTTGGATGCATTTAACTAACAAGACATTTATTTGTAATTCGCCTACTCAAAATAAGGCACATATGCGCAAAAATAATAGCCTACTTGTTTCATAAAAGTTGCAATAGTCTGTGGAGAAAAATACTCGAATAGGTAGATTCGTTTATTTTACAATCAATTTCAAATTGCGCTGAATTCATTGTGTCGGTTTTTTAATGCGAGCAAGAAAATGTGAAACATAAAATAGGTAGTCTTTCGTTAAGGAATGTTAATTCAGTAGATAATCAGGTTACATTTTCTTGCATATTTTTAAAAAATATATCATTTGGATAGGCAGTTCATATCGGTATTTCATGCGGAGCCTTATTATGTATTTTGGGTTTGAAATAGTGGCATACAGCCTACTGTTAAATGTATATTACATTATTGCCTTCAGCTGTCGTGTAATTAATCAGCATACAGAGCTCTGAGTGCATGAATGGCATGGTAAACATTTGGGATATATCCCTTACGCATTCTAATGTTGTGGTTCTTCCATTTAATCCTCTGTCCGTGCATGTCTTTTGTTACTTTGCAGCCGTTTCTGACTCCAAACCGGGGCTCCGGGTTTCACCAGCTTCGGGCTCTCCGGCCTCTGGAACCGCCTGGATACCATCGTCCTTTTCCCCGGGGGCCGGCACCGGCCCCCCCCTTATTGTCCTTCTTCCACTTCATCCTGCGGTTCTGAAACCAAATTTTGATTTGCCTCTCTGTGAGGCAGAGGGCATGGGCTACCTCGACCCTCCTCCTGCGGGTCAGGTACCGGTTAAAGTGGAACTCCTTCTCCAGCTCCAGCGTCTGGTACCGGGAGTAAGTCTGCCGTCCCCGCTTTCTGTTCGGATCTGTAAGATAAAATGCACTAGCTCTGTATCACTTCCAATAAAACATTTGTCTCGACATGTATGAAATGTGACGCTTCATAAAGCATTTATAAACAAATTAAAGTGGTGTTGAAATTGATGACGACAATAAAAAACGTGTAGGCTTACTTGGAATTATTGTGGGGCTCATTAATTTAGTTGTGACTGCGCAATTAATTGTGTACATTTGTACATTACACCTAACCAAATACACACTCATACGAACACACTCCTCACATCAGTAGGGGATATTATTATTTTTCAAATGTCTCTGCATCTATTTAAAGTAGTCCTGCTGGGATACTTGGTGCATGCCTCCTTTGAAACTCTGCATGCTTTTCCAATTAAAAGCCAGCGATGCTCTGTGCACCTGGAGCCATAAGTAATTAGATTACAGCCTCAACACCTTCACCTTCAAAATTATAACAAATGCCAATGATCCAAATTATTTTCATTCTAAATCCACTTGACTTCTTTATGTAACAGACAATACTGGTGCATATTGATACAGCAATGTGCATAACAAATAGTTTTAGAAAATACCAGAGCCTCTGCAGTGCAGACCCAATTAGAAAGGAGCTGCAGAGTGCAAGAGAACTGATTTACACAACATGCCTTCTTTTTTACAACCACAAAGGGGAGAAGAGGCTATAAGAGTAATAGGAGTGCAGAGAAACCCCCCAGCGGCAAGGTCTCTGCGTACTGAACACACAGAAGCGCTGGCCAAATGAATTTATGGCTGCAGAACTCATTAGTTGCGCAATAAAAGTTTTACGATTCATCCCATGCAACACCAATGGCTTCACGAAATTAATTGAACCACTAACGGCCAATGTAAGTATCCCAATGTTTTGTAAAAGCATTGACCTGAGGGGCTTTCATATAGCATATAAGAAACAGATCAGCAAATAGCCTACCTGATCCTCTCATCCAGGGGTACATCCGGTATTGTTTGTCCGGCGGCGAGGTGAGGGGTCCCGGCTCCGGGTGGCAGCAGCTGTCGGTGAACAGGCGGCTCTGGTCAAACAGGCTGCAGTGCAGTGGGTGTGCGTCCTGCCCCCGGCCATATCCCGAAGTAAACACGGGGCGACTCTGGTACACTGCATTGCTGACGCTGTAAACTCCGGACAGAGACGGTGCAAAGGCGATGGCCGCAGCTGTGTGAGCCGAGCCATAGTCCTCTCCACTGGGTCCAATACTGCAAGAAGCCCGCTCCACGTTTGGGAAGAGAGAAGTAGCCGTCGTATATTTACTAAGAAGACCATCCACATAATAAGAACTCATATTTTTTCTCTCTGATTTGTTGGCCCAGAATCCTCAGTGTCGTTTTTACGAGGTAGCGTGATATATGACAGCAATACAGCCTAGATTTACACCAAACCCCATTTTTACTCTGGACCAAAGAACTCATCCACGTGGCGCAGGCCTGGCAGCTCTCATCCAATCAGCATGCATACAGGGGTTTCATTATGGTGCAGGACTGCAGAGTGGGATTAACACTTCACACACAAACACATACATGTAATTACACACGAGAGAAATTCTCACAATCCCACTGATCTAGAGGTAATTTAGGTTGTATAAGGTCATGGGCTTTTGTCATATTTCGTAGTGCACTACAAATAATCATCTATTTAAAAGATGTATTCTTTTATTTGTGTTTACCATCGTGGAATACATTGTGCCTTCTTGAAGGTAATAATCGACACACACTCGTTCATATACACTAATAAACAATACATAATAGCTGGATATAATATAGTTTGATATTCGAACTAAAAATATAACAATTCCGACAGAAGGTGATTTTCATTGTTACTCTTCTAAATTATAAATTGGCCTACAGTCACTTGCTAAAATATTTTGATTATATCATTTATGTAAAAAATATCGGTAGAGAAATAATGCACAATGCAAGTTTCTATTTTTAAGTTTAAACAAGATAGTGTTGAATACTTTCTTCCAAAATATGCTTCGAGATTTTCTTAGTTGAGAATTTAGAAACATTATACATAATATTTTATTATAATAATAATAATAATAATAATAATAATAATAATAACACCTAATTCATCCTCCAAATTTGCTTTATTTTTAACGGCTTAACAATGTTATCTCAATAAATTGGCATAAAGCATGTCTTTAATAAATACGCAGAGTTACAAGAAAGCAAATGGTTATAGTAACAATTAAAAATAACTATTCAAATTTGAAAAATAATAATGGATAATATACCCTGAATTTTCCAAATATTTTAAGGTAAAATATTGATCGACATGGAAAACTGATTGCGTTATTATGTGTTCATAATTAAAATGGTAAACCCCTTATATATTTTAGGACATTACAAATACTTATTCATGTTATATTTCATCTAACTATTGCTTTACTATTTCTACTATTACAAGTTCAGTTTGAAATTATTTGCGTCAATTAAGCCGTCGAACCCTTAAAGAAATAGAAACATTGAACAGAAAGCGTCCTATCTGCAGGGCATGCTTCTTCTCTGCTGAGCCATAGGCTGGAGAAACAGTTTCTGCACTGAGATTGTAAAAAGGTGTGAAATTATTTGCGTGGTCTCTTAAAAAATGTTACTACAGTTTGTTTCCCAGTGCAGGTTCATTGGGAGGAGTGTTAACAATGGTGGGGTGATGTTGTGGAACAGTGTCGCCACCATCTGGGGACTTGTGGGGACTGCAAGGTGGAGAGGCATCATGTGCGCAGGCGTTGTGTTTTTCTGCTGCAATCAAGGATTAAATACAAGATAAAAAGGGAGAGAGACATATCTAAAAATGTAGCAGTATATTTCCTCGGTTGTGATTTTATCCAAAGTACCGATTTAACAGAAATGTCCAGATGTATTTTTGAATAAGCAGTAGGCCTGTCTGTGTTTGGAGCTAGCTGCTGGCTTTATGGCTCTTTCTCCTTTAGGAAGGGCCAAGCTAAGGAGCAGAGGGCGGAAGGTTCCCAGGTAGAAACAAAGGATCTCTCCAAATAACCATGAGTCCTGAACGTCCCCGTCGGGGAGAGTCCAATAAAGCTGATCATTTCCGCTCGGCCTTTTGTCCAGGGTGCAGTCCCACGTAAAGAGAAGAAAAAACAAATGGGTGCCATTCTGGAAACGGCCTAATTGTGTCTGGACGGCCATAAAGCCATTACAACTGGAATGCCAGACAGTGTAGCAGACCAGGCGTTTTATTGCACTGTCTCTGCTCGAGTCTTTGAAGTTTGGGTCCATCTGCGTCCCCTAACGCGCGTCACAACAGCACTCCAGTTAGTTTGACTAAAATCCTATTTACCCTCTAACTACAGTAATCTCCCAGTAGATGTTTTGTGTTTAAGAGAACTTAACAACCTGGTGTATGACAGAAGCATGCTGATCGAGCATCAGATGTAAAGCTCTGCAGCTAGCTGAAATGTGATTTGTTGCTTCTCGTATTTGCTATGTCCTTGTGCCAAATATTTTTTCCAACATGCAGAGACTTGAACCGGCCTTGCAAACGTCCTGTTTTAAAGGTAGAACTCTTCTCTAAAACCTTTGGTATTTTGAGGCCAAGCTGCCTTTTAAATCCTCTGAGTTGTTATATTTCATAATTGTAGTGTTGTAGATTGGTTATGTCGACATGTGCTAATGATGGAGCTTTTTGCTGAGCGTCCTTGTCATATCTGAGCTGAACAGCAACACATCGGCTGCATTATTTCGGGCTTCAGCTGTCGAAGACCTCGATGTCTTTTTTTGTTTTGTGTCCTCTCGCCTCGCAGCGCTTTGCACCCCATAAAAGGTTATAGCGGTAATTGTCTTTTATGGCTGTATACAGCTAACAACATCCTCTGCCAAGACGAAGCTCCGTCCCCAATCCAGGAACACGCACAAATTCCCCTTTAAGTGTGTGCGTTTATATTAGTGTTGGTGTGTTTTGGTGTATGTGCTGCAAAATGGAAAGCGTTAACAGTTTTTAAAAACACATTTAAGATGTTATTTAATTTTATTGGGCCTAATTCTCCATAAATGAATGTCCAATAAATGGATATTTCTTTATTGCAAAATGAAAATGATTGATTGATGTTATTTATATATTGTAGAGTGTGTGTGTGTGTGTGTGTGTGTGTGTGTGTGTGTGTGTGTGTGTGTGTGTGTGTGTGTGTGTGCGTGTGTGTGTGGGGGGGGGGGGGGGGGGCGTGATATCTAGTTGACAGCAATAACCTTCATATTAACCAGAGTGCAATCAGCATCCAAATAATACTTTTTATGCAGCAAGCAATCATTTATAAAAAACTATAATTTCAGTGTGAAGCCGACGTGAAATAAAAATGTGACGTGCATGCATTCGCAGATATAATTTGTTTTATTTAATAAATAAAGTACAAATTACATTTGTGAACCAAAAGTCAGACGGTCAGCAGACCGTGAGGTATTCATTAAGTAGCCTACAGTGTTTTATTTAAATTTCTCTCACTAACAAACAGTATGTACTTCCAAAATGTTATTCCCTGAAATTCCAGCATAATGCAAGCAAACCTAGCCTATAATCCGCCATCGAAAAAAAGGTTATTGTAGGTAGTTGAAAGACATAGGTAGTCAATCGTGTCGTGTGATTTAGCTTCCATAACATCTTTTAATTTAGCATTTTAGCATATTCAAGAGGTTTCTGAGGTCTATTCACCACCTACTTCAAAATGCAACTGTAATACGGCTCCAATGTTAGATTCAAATTCAGGGTCATCAGTCATAGTTCTAAGCAGTAAGGGAGAAACAACAATAAAATTAATACATTTTTACAAACTACGCTCAGGTGACTCTGAGATGGACAACAAATATAGCTAAGAACCGGAACACGCAGCTAAACATCCATACACAAACGAGCACATGGACCAGGCCAACAAATACACGTTAACGAGGTATTAATTAAAATCAAAATAATAAAAGAACAAATACAAAACGAGTGGGCACCGTTAAAATTGTGCAATATAAAGGTAGTCGCATCAAACTAAAGCCCAACATGCTTTTTTTACAGGACAATTAAGCCTAATAGCTTCTGTTATATAGAACAATAAGATAATTAAGTTTAAAAACAAGGTCCAGCAGAGTTAAGAGCTTCCACGCACAAAGCTCGCCAACAGCCAAATGTCTAAAGGTTCAGTCAATCCCTTTCGGTGCGCCCTCTTTATTAAACTTCTTCATCTTCATCCTGCGGTTCTGGAACCAGATTTTAACCTGTCTCTCGGTGAGGTTTAACTGCCTCGCCACCTCATACCTACGGTCCCTGGTCAGGTAGGCGTTAAAGAGGAATTCTTTCTCCAGCTCCAGGATCTGGTACTTGGTGTACGGACAGCGTTTTTTTCTCGTGGCACTCGCGTGGAGCCAGTTGGCCACAGGGTTATCTGGAAAAAGTGAGGGGAGGGGGGGGGGGGCGACATTTGTGTGAGGGCCCGGTGCTGAGTAACCCAATTCGAAAACAAACATCACTCATAATTGGACTCAGAAAAAGAAAAAAACTCTAAAATGAGAAGAAAATGGCTACACATGTCCGACCGCAGCTACACCAAATAAAACTATTTCTCTCCACACACGGCCACTTTAAAAGCTGCGAAAGGTTATCTTATAGCAATGGGAGCTGGGCCATTAACAGTCCCCATAAGGAAATGGCACGTTCAGAATGGCATCTGTTCAGACGCGCACCCCCATCACGCACCCAATCCTCACAGCTAAATGTGGTATTAGTAGACTATAAACATTGGGGACTCTGCAGCGACTTACTTGGATCCAGGCCTGGTTTCTCTTCAGCTTCTCCGCTCGTGTCCCCTGCGTGGACGGACAGTGCGTCCTTTTCCCCCGGTGATGCCGTCGCTACGGTTCCGTTGGCGTAATCAGATAGCAGCAGCGCCGTGTGAGAGCCGGGCAGCGCGCCGTCAGCTCGCGCCCCTAGACCCTCCGGTTTGATTCCGTAGTGATGGGTCGTCGGTAATCCGGCCATGGGCAGGGAACCGGACATAGGCTCCAGCAGCCATGACTGATAGCGGCTATCTGTATCTGCACCGACCGGGCCTTGATGATGCCCGTAGTGGTGATGGTACATAGAGGAAACACTGCCCGGGAACTGAGCCGGGACATGGCTCCATGATGGCCCGAATACCGGAGGTTTGGACGGGAAAGTGCAGGTCCCGAGCTCGCTGTGGTCGCTGATGGAGGCGGGATGCCTGGAGTGCTGGAGCCCAGGACCGGAGGGGTATCTCGGCACAGAGAGCTCCTCGCTCTCGGGCAGAATGAGGGAATCGACGTAGTAACTAGTTAGTGTTCCGGATGTCGACATGGCAGAGAAATTACATGTACGCAGTCATACAACAGATACATGCAAAAAGTAAAACGCGCACACACACACACCACACACACATTCACACGCAGTAAAGCCAGCCTCACAAAATAACAATGTGGAGAAATCAAGTAGCAACTTGGCCCCACAGAGAACTACAGTGGGCTAGTAATGGGGAGACAAGCTGCCACGCCATTGGGTAGCAGTCACACGTGATCATAAAGGCTGAACAATAAAGGATAAATCAATCCCTTTGGTCATTAAATACTCACCCGCTCTCCTATAACAACCTCTAGTTTTAAAGCTAAGAATTATGAATTCATAAGTTGGATCTGTTTTCTGTAAAACAGAAAATAAAAAAGATGTGATGAGTAAAATAAATGCTACAGTATCCTAACCTGCTTCTGCTGTTAAAACCCCTTCTTGGTTGCACAAAAAGATACAGGCCTGATTTTACGAGGTACTTTATAGGACACGTAGCACCCTATTGCTGCTCACCTAAACACGTTTCAACCACTATATTAAAGAAACTAAGCAGCTCAATGCTGAAAGAGCGCCTATATCTCAAATAACTTTATAAAGTGCATTATTCATTTTATTCGGCTGTATCAGATGCAGACATCTTCCAATGGCCTTGTTCTGCATTTTGCATTTAACACATTTTTTACGGACAAAACTGCCAAACACCAACAAGTTATGCAGGTCATCTAAAATAAGTCTAAAATACTTATTTTCCCTCTCACATTTACTTAAACAATGTAGTTGTTTTGGGGCCTATACTAATTTACACTTTAGACGCATATATGCATATGATGTATTTTTTAACAATAACCACATTTTGTGATTTAGACAGGATATTTCCACATCACTGTAAATGTGCATGGTTATCAACAAGTAATGATTCACATTACAGCATATGTAGTTTTACGAAGATATTGCAGCACTACATTTCCAATAGTAAAAAGAAAACAAACACGAGATTACAACTTTAAAAATGAATGAGAATTTATTTGGGAAAATGTGATGAAAATTGAGCAGGAATAGTTCAGTTACAAATGTGTCTTGTTAGTTGCAGGTATTAGTTTGGCAGTAATTACGATGTTAAACTATACCTATATACCAAATAAAACAGTTACTGGATATTAAATAATTGCATTTTATATAATGTAAAGCAATATTTGGGTTAGGGTTCAATATAAAATATAGATCATATATTGAAGCAAGTTGTGAAAATAATAAAATTCAAATGTATAAAGATATTAAAAATAGATAAACAAAGATGAACAAAATATGCAGTATTTGTGTTATTGATCCACTGAGTTGATTCACGATGGCCGAATATTTATGAAATAAGTTCCTAGTACTATTACTGGCGGTTCCCGGTTCCTCCCTGCTTAACCCTCCGTTAAACCCGTTTATTATTTACACTGCCGTTATCACTTGTATGGGCCTATATTTCGCCATCATCACCACCATCAACAAATTAACTGATGCCAGCAGCCAGTGCCTCGGTGTAACATTACACTTAAATAGAGCTACAAATAAGTGTGGTGCTTGTGGTTTTCTCCTTTTAAAATCAAATGGTGCGAGCAGTGGTGGTGAACACCAGCACATTTAAAATGCATGTTGTAAATATTGAGCTTGTAAAATTTAACAGACAAATTCAATTACTGTTATTAAACAATTAGCAAATTGCGCACTAGAGGCGTTAACATAAAAAACAAATCTAGCTTTATATTTGTTGGAGTTCTTAATAGTTTAGCTGATAATAAATGGATTACAGATTGAAATAATATAAAATTAACAATATACTGAGATTGTTTTTATTTTAGAGAAAATGCATTCTTAACTTCATTTTAATGTGGATATTCCCAAAACGTTTTAACTGTGTGCGTATTATTATCCACATTATCCTAAACCTTTCCCCACATCGCAGATCACGTATACAGAGCAAAACCTTGAGTTCTCGCATATTACGCTGCATTTTTATTTATTTATTACCATCAAATAAACGGAGAGCTGAGCCAACACCCCACAAGGCCACAGGCAATTCTCTTGCAGGAATTGTTTCCACTCTGTTCTTACTATTTAAAAGACGAAAAAATACGCACAAGCTGTCCATAATGTGCATACTGGTTGCAAGCTATCACCTCTGTGTTACTTGCACTTTATTTGGCAAACAGACATCAAACACCCCGATGGGGGGGGGAGGAGCGGCTGTGTGCCTATTTGTGCACTAAAACTTAGAATAGACAAACACCTTCAGAGGAGGAAAATACGCCAATGGCTCCCAGGCTGTAAACCTAAATCAGGGTGTTTTTTCACCCAGTTTACCACAGGGGCTATTCACTTCTTTTGCCTCTGGAGATAACAGCCTGTCTGGCGGATCTAAATATCGCCATAAAGCCCTTCCCCTCCTTTTGTCTGAGATACTATTGCGCAGCGGAAGCATCCGGTCTCACTGCCCACGGAGGTCGCTGTTGCCCCATTCACCTTCCCCTTCCCCTCCACTGCAGTGGTCGTAACCGAGGCCTTGTCTGGCGTGTCTGCGTCACTACTACTCACGGAAAACACTCACGGCTTTACCCTTAATCCCAAATCCACGACGCACACTGCAGTTCAGCTTTGATCACATTTTAAATCCAGCACACATGGCCACGTAGGCTTATTTTAACGACGAAACCCAAGTAAAGAAGTATAAGGAAAACATTACAGGAGACAGGTTAAGAACATACACAACAGCCATCACCACTCCCCGGTTTATAAACTAGTGGGGTTTAGAACATGATTCCAAAATACTTTTCCACAATTTTCATCAAACCCGATCATCTGTATGTCCCTGATTTGCTTTCCTTTTGGTTTCGAAGAGTGGAACTGGGGCAATTAAGACAGTTTCATGTTGCAGAGTTAGAAATGGACCCCAACAACATGAAACTACCTAAACCACTCGACAGTCGATCCGGGCCTCAAGTGAAACACAATCAGCCAATTCATAATGCACCGTGTTCGTCGGTCCCGTCATCAAGTGTCCAAAACATCGTCTGCATTAAGAAAGTACATCTGTTTGTAAACACTATCGTGAAGCCGGTGCAACAAGGCTAAACATGAACACATTCGCAATGATAAATGGACTTACCCGATCCTCGAAACGTTAATCCCAGTATTCCAAAATTAAAGCAGCAGGTTATGTTTTATCCATATATGAGTAGGCTACAGTTCAGATTTCTAGCTGAGAGCCAGGCCTCCTCTCCGTCTGAAAGGCTCTCCCACGACTGAAGCAGCTCTTAGAGGAGAGGGAGAAACCTCATATACCAGCCAGTCATAAAACTCTACAATAGCCGGCTGAGCATGCAGCTAGACGGCTTATAGCCTAATATCTTAATTATTTCCGATGGCCATTACATTAGCATCTACATTTTTCAGCTGGTTCACACAGTGTGTCCCCATTGATGGAGGCCAAGTTATTTGGGGTTTTGCATTTCAAACAGGATGTTTTTTCTGCTCTGTAGACTTTGCCTTTAGACATATAAATACAAAAATACAGGCAGCTACTTCTATGCGAGCTGATAATTTATTAAGCATTACACAAAAAACACAATATGTACACAGAAATATACAATAGAAACATTCCTATTTCACTTTGCACACCTTTTTCGTGTAAACGTCCTCATCGTGATTAAAGATCCGACTCATACATTTAGCTCGTATATAGAATAGGCCTATACCATGGTGGACTACATCTAATGATCACATGGTGAATTATTCTTCTTCCCTTGTGGTACGTGTTATATTCCAGAGTGATTGAATAACTACAAAATAAATGTATAGGAAAATGTAATATCATGCAATTCAAATTAAAATAAAACAAATTAATATTTGTTTGAATACATTTACGATTATTTGCCAGCAGTTTGGGGAAAAGTGGAAAATTTAAGCCACCTTCCAGTGCACAATGTTTTTAAATTGCGTTAATTTAACTCCACTGACGACACTATCCAACCATACGACAGAAGGGACAGAAACAGGTAGATGATACAAAAACACAATATCAGAAAGCAATCAAATAAAACTCTACATTCAATTTTTCCCCATTTTCTTATTCTCAATATAGCGCACAGAGGACGATGCATCGACTTTAAGCGTGTCTGGAAATAAAAAAAGTAGTACCCCACAGTGAAATTAGTCTTAGGTGGACAGAGAAGTGAGGAAGGGTGTGGGGGTGCTGGAGGAGGGAGGGTGTCATTGATTTCACCAAACATCTTCTATTTCAATTTGATCACCTTGTTCATCATGAAAATCCATAGTTGGATGTGAGCTCCCGGATCCTGTTTTCCCGCGTCATTTTCTTCAGTTTCATCCTGCGGTTCTGGAACCAGATTTTAACCTGTCTGTCCGTCAGGTGGACGCCTTTACTGATCTCTAGGCGGCGCTCTCGGGTCAGGTACATGTTGAAGAGGAACTCCTTCTCCAGCTCCAGAGTCTGATGCTTGGTGTATGGACAGCGTTTCTTCCGGCCACTTTTTGCTGTCAGCCAGTTGGCCGTGCTATGCATTTTTGCGGCTCCTAAAGAAAATGGCAGATACATTACGCACTGCAACATGGGGGACTGTGTGTGTGTGTGTGTGTGTGTGTGTGTGTGTGTGTGTGTGTGTGTGTGTGTGTGTGTGTGTGCGCGTGCGTGCGTGCGTGCGTGTGTGTGTGTGTGTGTGTGTGTGTGTGTGTGTGTGTGTGTGTGTGTGAAACGATATAGAGCCTGCGTGTGTGACACCTGCATATAATAGGTAATATGCTAATCGTTTTATAAATTGCTTTGTATACCAATAAAGCTATTGTGTGAATCTGTGTTTGTGTTTATGGTTGTGTTATACACACACACACACACACACACACACACACACACACACACACACACACACACACACACAATAGCGTAACATTTGTGTGTCCTTTATGTGTGTGTTTGTATATAGGTGTAGTTTATGCGTAAAGTATGGTTGCTTTGTTAGATTCATCATACTGCAAATGTTTGAAAATCGTTCATTTAAAAAGAGTGTTTTGTGACATAGAAAGTGAAGTAATAAAAAGGCATTTTGGCACAGACAATATAAAATGGCCTACATGAATATAACGACTGACTAGCCTGCATTTTACGCAGTACTCAAACGAAATACTGGTTGAGTCTATAGTAAATTGTAATTGATATAAATGTAAAACCTATATGTTATGCATGTATGTATTGAGACAAATTATCATAAAATCGTTAATACCTCTGTTGGACTTTTTAATCAAAACAAACTTAGCTTAGCCCTTTAACTTGCTTTTTCAATTTTACGCATAATCTTTCTGGGCTTATTCATACACACTTATACATCATCTACTGATACCACTACAACTTAGAGAACAAAGACTTGGTGACTATAAATACATGCAGAGTTACCATGACCGTGAGTTGATGTATCACTGCAAGTCTAACCAGTGAAATAGAACTTCACAGGTGCCTTTAAAAAAAAGCCTCTCTCTACCTGCGCTGCATGCAAACAAAGCAACAGAGCAGGGCCACACCTATGATGAACTGTGATTACCTTTGGTGGTCTTTGATGCTCTCTCTTTGTCATGCTCTTCTGTCTCGTCGGCTGAGGAGGCTTCTGCATCCGAGGACTCGCGTGCCTCGTCGCTTCCCGGTGCCGTGTGAGGCTGCAGGTCTGCTTTTCCCGAGGACACGGGCTCCTCGGTCTTCCTCCCCTCCTGCGCCGTGGCTGGAGCAGAAGTCGAGGTTGGTGGCGTGTTGAAGCGAGTGGGAGCAATGGGGTGTAGGCCAAAATGAGAATGGGAAGGGTTCGGCTGGGGGCCGTTAGTGTTGTAAAGTTTATGAGAATGTGCGTGCGTCTGAGACAAGCGGAAGTAGCCTGGCACAGGCACTGAGCCCCCGCCGCCGCCATCGGTAACTGTACAAGAACTCGAACCTAGGCCAGCTGTTGTTAACCTCGAATAAGTGAGATCTTCCGCGGTGGAGGCTTTAGGACACTTTGGCTGCTCATACAGGCAGTATGTGCTCTCCTCCTTAATATTCTGCGGGAATGAGCAGGGCGCGACCTGGGGACCCACCGGGTGCTCTTGGTCCATTCGACATGACCTCTGCGCGTCCATCCACATCTCCATGCTGGGCATGTACGGGCCAGAGGCGGAAACCATGTTTGGAGGACCCACTTCGCTTCGCTTACCCATACCTGGGAAGTATCCATAGTTGTGTAGTCCGTAAGGCACTTCGGTAGCAGTGCTGTGAGGCACGCACACCGTGCTCCCATAGTGACCTCCGGCGCTTTCATTGCGGCCACTGATCAGAGAATCCACTAAAAACGCATTTCCTGACGGGCTGTCCGAACATGACATTATTGTGGTGTATTTTGGCGAAGGAAGAAGATAGCCCTTTCTGGCTGACATTTCTTGTGCAAAACATGCTGGATATGATTAGAGGCACCCCCCTTTCTGCCGTGCAGAATGTAAAACCAATGGAAATGCTGGAAGATGGGCAGTCCCTCCCACTCAGAGGCTACGTAGCTGCCGGAGCGATATCTATCTTGGAGCTGAGGCAGAGAAAGGAGGCAGCAGAGCAATCAGTGTTTTCCCTCAACTCGTCTTAATGCACCACCATTACCGAGGGCGAGGTCCAACATGATGCAAAGTTTAACAACTGCATAGCTGTAAAGGGGGAAAAAACATGCATTTCTATACATTCTTTAAACAAGTTTTGAAATCCCATCAAAAAATCACTGAAGCTGATTGCTCCTGTCCTATATTCAAATCAAAATGTACCACACAGCTCAAATAGGTGCAACGCAGTATCAGCCTTTCAGATTTAATTTACCTCAAGTAGGAGTCGTGGAACACAACATTATAATAATATTACCATCTCCTTTTGTTAAAGACGCTCTAAAAAAAATACTTCCTTACATGAGGTAGATATGGCCCTCAGATTGCAAATCAAGTATGGCACTGCAGAAGCCACAAACGACAACAAAGCAATGGGACTTAAAGGTAATAAAATGTTTTAACTGTAGGTAGAATTCGCCTTTAGCTAAATGACTTGGCAAAAAGCTGTTTTATATGGTGCATCCTCTGGCCTTAGGACATCCTGGTCTTCCGCACTAAAAGCAAAGGTGTTAACACTAATGTAGTCTGAAGAAAAGAAGAGTAATATCAGACATTCTTTGTTCTTCTCTTTAGATTTTCGTTTATGTTTTGTTACACAGAAGAGGACTCTGAATGATTCAATATCAAATGTACATCCTTGAACTGCCTTGTTGTAATCCATCAACAAAAAATCCCCTTTATATCAAACATAACCCTTTTTGATTTAAAATGTTGGACTTATATTAATGTATGTGTAATTCATTAAGATGAGGAACGCTATGCCCGTGCGTAAACAACGGCAAACAAAATCTTTGTCATCAAGAACTAAAATAATTTGACGAAAAAAAGGTTTACAAAACAGATAGTTTCCTAAATGGAGTTTCTTCACATTGTAAACATCTATTTATTAAAATATCATTAAAAACCTATACACAGTAACGTTTTTTATTAGATCTCGTTATTGGTTTTCTCTCTGGTTGAATATTCGTTATTTAATGTCTCAAAATAAAACAAAGAGGTGTTTTTTTATAAAACTATTTGTTAACAAAATGCGCATTAATAATGGTTGTATTTATGTGTATTTTCAGTAATTTAGGATATGGAAATTAGTTTATCTGTACCCAAAGTCATAACGCATGGGACAGAAAAGGTAAAACAATCACTTTCGTTCAAAGGCTGTCGGCACAAAGATGATTATAAGAAATGCGAATAAATACTGCGGCAGCCTACAACATGTTCAATTAAAAACAAATCTAAAATGAGCACAGTATAAGTATTTGACTTGTTAAAACTATCAACGTATTGATCGCGGTGTTGTGGGGAACAGGCACAATGTGCGAAAGGAATGCAGACATACAAGTCATCCTGTCGGTCCAATTTGGGCCAATAAGAGCCACAATAAAACTCTCCTTCCATCTAGTGTCCTTGGCCATGTGCACTCTATTCTCTCTCCAGGTTGAAGTTAATCTCGGCCAGCTTTGCCATTACCAGGCCCAGGTGGCCGCTAACCCCCTGGGTTCGTATCCAGCCTGTTGTACTGAAATGAGAAAGATTGAGGGGAAATTCATAAATTGAGCCCATTTAGGTTTTCAAACGCTCCGTCAATGACAGCTCACTGATGTACACTGGCTTAGGTTTTTAGCGCGTCGATGGTGGACATTTGTCAATGGCTCCTGCTCAAATCTCACTACTTCAAATTATTTAAATTACTATAACATGATTGAAGGTTATTTATGTGTATACGAAAAAGTAATACAATGCTTTATTTTAAAGCAGAGTGATATGCTGTAGAAATATATAAAGTAATTAGTATGTTCAGTGGGGAGCTTTAACAAGAAAGGCCGTGCGCCAAACGTTTGTGCCTGTATAGCAAAATCCCCCAGAAACATTTTTTAAAACCAATACAATGTTAACCTACTACAAACTAACTAACATAACTAGGTTTAAAGCATGTTTTCTCGTCCCTGCAGTGGCCTGTTGCTTGTAGGACATATGAGCCACTAAGGAAACTAAATACATCCATTAATTATGTGTGCCCATGTTACATTGTGTTGGCCTGCATTCACTTCATGGTGTTGTACTGCCTATCGATATCTTCGTGTTACAGTTATTAATTGTAGCTATTAAATCTTCATTTTCACAGCTGCCCGGCTATTATATCCTCAACACAGTTTACTCTGACCACTGGCTTTGATCCGGCCCATATAATAGTGGCCGGAGAGGCCGTTTGAGTCGTATCATGTTCGTCCCGAGTGCAGTTATGAACAATAATGCGGCGTTTTATTACATCCAGCGGAAGCATTTATTTTTCACGAGAGACAAAGGAGAACGAGACTAGGTCCGCACGCATCAAGGTTCAGAATAGCCACTCGCACTGACACCGAATAGCCTCAGCTCTGTATCAATGACAGGAAGGAAAATGAGACGCGATTGCTGCCTTATCATAATCAAATCTTCTCTGTTAAAAGCACTTTTCATATACTTGGCACGTAGAGGGAATAATGTGATTTGGGAGGACGCTAAATGTTGTTAGCGGAACCTTTGAAGAGGAAGGAGCAATACAAGAGAGATGCTCTGATTATAGATGAGCTGCATATAGCTTGAGAAGAATTTCAACAATGTATTCATTTGTTTTGTAGCCAGCACCATGCTTACTGCTGTGCCGTTAACGTACCAACTGTATCCATTGTTTTGTTTTTTAAATTAATAATTAAGGCAGTCCTCTCCCCAAATCCAAAACATTTGTGGTTAGACTGTTAGTTGGAGACCTCTCCAGGTACATGCCGGCCATGCTATACTTCAACCATTAAAAAGCTCAAGCTCAGCTAAATGAATAGCACATGCAGCAGAAGGCATGGCACATGTGTTGCCTTATTAGGGCCCCCAGGAAGACTTTCTCCACGGCACGGCCCAGTGAGCACCAGAGAAATGTGGAAACTAAATACAAACGGCTCCTAACTTAAACTAACTTCGTATGCAAGAATATTTTTCTAAGGGATGAACATATAAAAACGTTTCCCTAATGGAGCAAACTGTTTAAGCTATAGACTGGGTGACAAATACGTTTACCTGCTTGCATTCGAGGTGAGTTTGGAGACGAAAAGATCCACGGCCATGACATTGGTCCCAATAGCGCCGCCCGGTGGTGGAGGTGAGTCTAATCCCAAGAGCAGCACCTAACTGACTGGTGGATAAAGCACACGAGGGGGAAAAGCCTCCCAACTGAAGTCGATGTAGCGAGCAAGCAGAAGCTTTTCCTATCCGTCCTCTCACTGTCGTTGCTCTCGCCTCCTTGGTTACACAGTTAATAACCTTGGGTCTCAGACGGTTTATTGCACTGCACTCCAATTGTACAAATGCCCCAGACTCTCAGACGGGTTTTATGGCAGCGTTGCTGCGGCAACGGGGAGGATGCCCCGTAATTAGGGACGGAATTCCAGCGCGCAGTAAAGGATGCGCGAGGCAAGGCCGGACTATGGCAGAGAGAGGCAACCATAAACTTCAGCCTCTCTCCCCGCGTTTATGGCCCTTTTGACTGTCATATATGAACGCCAATGCGCTGCGGCTAGCGCCCATAAACACAGTGATAACAACAGCAAATATGGCGACCCTCGCCAAAGGAGACTGCTGTTGGAACAGTGTTTCCAAAGCCAATCAGCGAAATGACAGTTTGCACACACACACACACACACACACACACACACACACACACACACACACACACACACACACACACACACACACACACACCACACACACAACACACACACACACACACACACACACATACACACACACACACACACACACACACACACACACACTAGAGCAAGAGTGTGGAGCTAATAAAACAACACGATGTACTGAATGTTTGGCAACATAAATGTTCTTGTGATAAATAATAATGGATATATAAGATATCAACATTGCTTAAATAGCAAAGATGTATTTTAGGTAGAATGCAAACGTTGTAAATATCTTATACATTTCAAAAAGGTCCGAGATATGGTTCAAAATAGTTGAAAAACAACAGCACAACAATGTGAAAACACATGAAAGTCCTTGCTTTTTAAACTATTTACTTTTACGTGATCGATACTATAATTAACTAGTTAGTAACTAGCCTATCATTAAATATTTAGAGTAATTTAATAGCATTTTTCAATACTTAACTTCATTAATAAATGTGTTACTTACTTACTAAAATAATTTACATTGTGTGTGTTCCTGGTTGAACGGTTCATATTTTGTATGTGAGCACAGATTTGCTCCATTTCACTTATTTTGAATCGTTTGCAACATATAAAGTCACTTGACTTTAATATGTTGCAAGCGAGAGGTCATTCTGTTCACATATGCGTAATTGTACTCACCAAATGTTCATATTTTTTTGGACACGCTAGGGGGACAAACAGAACAAATACAACGCACATTTCTTTTTTTCAATGATCTTTTCATTTTGTTTTTTATTTGGAAATATAGTATAATACACAATAGTTTGGGCATATCAAGCAATTGATTCAATGCGATGACCCTGACCAGCCTTGCCCTTATAGCACACTTAAAAATGTAGCATTTCTTTTTTTTACATTTGACTGCAAGTAGCCTACCAAAGGATCACGAGTCGTGGAAAAACATTTTGTTATGCGTATCAATATAAGACTGAAGAGGCCCGCTGCATACCTGTGTGAATATGTTGGGCGTGACCTCAGTGCAACTCCACAAGGATCCAGCTGGCAAGCTTATCTCTCTGGTTTTGGCCTGCAACATCAATTCTTGATTGATAGTCTCCAAAAATCAAAAAGGACAACATGGATGTGGGTGTTGAAAGGTACGCAAAATATATACTCATAGCCCTAACTCTGCAGTCTACAGCAGAGACGAAAAAAGCTCCTTTTGAAGTCAGCCCAGACTCGACACGGAATCACAATAGCCTGCTTGTAATAAGGGACTTTCACTTAATTAGCCGTGGCAATAAAGGACATAGTAATCGAGTGGCCACACAATAAATAAGCACACAAAACAATAACACATTACATTCTCATCCATTCGGACTCATTATTTGGTCACACCAATATAGATTCAGTTATCAAAGTCACATAGTCGCCAACATCCTCAATCCCACTTTTCTGATTTTAAAAACAGAAAGAAAGTTTAACAAATCTTTTGATTACAAAATACACTGAGTCAGTCAATTAGTGACTGCATTTCCGCCCGCGTGAAAGGAAAATAAACAAGGCGTCTGTGAGTCACAATAATATTAACATGAGCCCTCGCAAGCACAGTCTTGGCGAGGACAACAATCCTTTTCTACATTTTCCTCCAAACAGTCTTCAGAGCGAAATCAAAGTCCACCGATTGACTTAATTCATGCTCAGTTTTTAGGTCATTCAGATCGCAGGATAATGTTGTCCTCGAACTTGAAATTAACCACTGAGCAATGTTGCTGCTGTCGCGGCCATTGTGGGACACAATGTTCACTGAGTCACAGCCGGAGTCAGGCGCTCTGGTAACGCATGGCAGTCCCACGGCAGAGGGCTGTGGACGCTGTGACGGTGTTGTGTTGATCCCTAAAGCAGAGGATTAGACGTATAATATTGTAATCTATCTCTGTTCAGTTTCTTCTCCTTCATACGACGGTTCTGAAACCAAATCTTCACTTGTCTGTCGGTGAGGTTGAGCATGCGCGACAGTTGCAGCCGTTTCTCCTTGTTAATGTACACACTGAAAAAGAATTCTCTCTCAAGTTCTCTGATCTGATATTTGGAATAAGGGCATCTTTTCTTGCGGGTCCTCTGTCCACCTGGAAGGCACAAAAAGAAAGGTGTACCGGTCAAAAAAAATAAACATTTCATATTAGCCACAATGTTACAAACATATTGTTAAACCCTGGATGTTGCAAGATTACGCATGAACGGATTTCCATACATAAAGCATTAAAAAGCATATTTCCCCATTCAAGTGTAATTTATTGTTATATTATATTACACTGTAAAGACTACCAAACCATTAATATTGGTTTGTTATACTATACACTTGGGCTTTGACCTTTCCAACCAAATGAAAACAACAAGCTCACCTTCAAATGCAACGCGTTTTATTAGCTAGTTTATACCAAGATATTAGTTTTATAGAAAATAGAAAGGGGAAAATGTACATATTGGAACACACTCTATGATGGCTTTCACACAAAAGCTAATGTATGCTTAACTTTATACCAGGCACAGCCCTCATTACATGCAAGTGCTCTTTTAACGCTTACAAACCGTGAAACAAGCACGTTAATAATACACGGAATTAACGCAGGTATGTGTAACAATTCACATTCATAACTAAGTGCGTTTTGTAAACGTCAAGAGGTGTTATAGAAAAATCACCAAACGTATGTCTTTCACGGCCAATTTTAATTCCAAACACGTGATCCTGCAGTTTATAACAAAGTTTTGTTGGGGGGTGGGGGGTCTACAGGCCCTCTATAAACCTTATATGCTTATAAAACAGCATATAAAAATGTTAACAGCAGCGCGCAAGATTGCAAACTTTCTCTCATAACCAAGGCGCTGACTTTAATACGTACTGCTGCTGGATTTCTCCTCATTGTTGCCGGAAGATAACTCCGGGCTGCTCGTCTCCTCCCGGGTCTCCTTCGTCTCGGTGTCCCGGCACGACGGTGCGTCCTCCGGGGCAGAGCTCGGCTGCTTGGTCGCTTGTTTATCTCCTGTGTAGCCATTTGTGGAGGAGCTCTCCGACGCATTCCCGTACGTGGTTTCATAAAACTGATCGAAGACTTGTGGCAGCACGCCATTTCTGCCCACGTTCCCATAGAAATTGGTGGCAGCGGATCCGGCACCCGTATGGTGGTGGTGGTGGTGGTGGTGGTACGCCGCGGCAGAGGCTGCGGGACTGTTTTTACCAAACATGTCCCCTACGACGGCTGTCTGAGCCGAAATACAGTCCCGGTGCACCATGTCTTCCGCGGTGGGGTAGCCATGGGGCAAGTTCCCCCGGTGTGGCCATTTACCGGACGCTTCAATGGCTGCATAGTCCCTGAACGTCACCTCTCTGACGGGCTGGACCTGCGGCAGGTTAGAGGAGTAGGAGTATGTCATGGGGCGGGTGGACGGGTTTTGGGATAAAAACGAGGGAAGACCGGAGAAATCAGCCCCCGCCGACACGTAATAAGTGCAGCTGGGCAAATACATGTTCGATCCGACGGGGACTCTTTCGTCAAAATCCATCATCGTAGTTCACCCTCTGCTATAACTCTATGTTGGGCTTTGATTCCTCTATAGCCGCCCTGAACATGGCTCTGAAGCACCGTGCCTCCTGCCTCTTTGAAGCAGGTTCGCTAAGCAGACATTTGGAGACGTAGGCTGACGTGGAGAGCCATCTCCATCCTCTCTACGGAGGAGGAGGTCACGTGACCACGCGGCAGAAATTGACAGATTTTCAGGCTGTGTATAAGTGTGTGCGTGCCTGCGTGTGAGCGTGCACGTGAAGGAAAAATAAAGAGTGTGTGTATAGTGTGAGAGACGTGACTGCTGTGTGTCCTAATGCTTGACATTGACTTAAAAATGAATTCCTTAATATGCTAGGTCAGAATTAAAGAAAACTAAAATTGAATGATGTTTTTTAAAACACAACAGAGGTATTTAAAATCAAAGCAAATTTAAATACCCCAGATTTATTGTGCATTTCTAGATTTGTTGTGTTTTCCACACCTGAAAAAAAAAATGTGTGCGTAATTTAAGCGTTTTAGCTCTGCTAGAATATAAATGATGAACAGGAGAGAAAAACAAAAAGTATTATGCACGATAAAGTGTCGCATTCCCAGTTGACACTGACATTAACTAAACCAGCATTAAAGTGCTTTGATAACATGGACCTGGACTGAGGAAGGAGACAACCATCTTATCTTAAAGTCTGCTTTTAGAAACCTCTTAGTCATCATCATTTGGTGGTTTTACAACATAGCATTTGGCCTAGTGGGCATTTGGTTATCAGGGTCATGTTCAAAGTAGCGGCTAATGTTTCAACTGGCGACAGCCTTGGGTTAGTAGCAATATAACAAAGAACAAACTGAAATTCTGACAAAAATAAATACACGATATCGTCTTAAAATGTTTAGTGAACAGAACACGAATAAAGGGTTCAAATGTAATATGAACCTAGACAATGGAATTGTTAAACACGTATTTTGAATTGTAACGTTCAGATTTACAACTACATTTTAGTATTGTAACTTTGTTGTGTACTTGTGATAAACAACAGAAGGATCCAACCTATACCTCTCAAAAAAGACTGGCGGTTCACTGAGAAAAATGTTCAAGAATTGATAGTCCGTCTCCTTGATCCAATAAAACAGTCTGCTTGAATAACCAAATGTTACAACTCCTTCAGAATACTACATTTATTTATTTATTTTAAAAATTATCCTCGTTTAATGCTCTGTTTTGCCTCATATAAACATGTAGGCTAATGGTTGCAAAAGTCGCAACGCTCGACCGGCTGCACTTTTACGCACGGCCATTTCTTTATGTTTTAGTGCAATATTTATTCAAATGATCGTTGTTTAGCAAGAAGACATATTCCAGAAATGTAGACGACATTTTAATGGTTTTATGAATAATAATTTTCATCAAAGCCCTATTTGTTTCTATGTATTCCCATAAAACATCTGAACACACATTTGCGTAAATCCAAGTCGCATACATTTTTTTCTAAATGGATCATGTTGCGCAGATTTACGAACTAGCAGAATTGTCTTCGGTATTTAGTTAAAAAACTGCATGGTGAATAACCAAAGTGTATGGAGCCTATACATTTACATACAGGAATTGCATGTTGGAATATATGTTCCACTGAAGATGAAGCAATAGGGATAACAAATACCCACAATATTAATTAAATTAATTAAATGATGTCTACAATTTAATTTGGTAAACATGTCACCGAGCACATTGCCTGGCTCTTTGCTATATGGCCACCGTGGAGTTTGATTTGAAGAGGCTGCAACCTGACTCTAATGTGCTGTGAATGAGAGACCTTAGCTCGGATTAACCGCCGCGGCTGGCCTGGCCCCCACAGTCCAATGAGTACATGAGAAACCAAGAGGGTTCTAATTGCAATTGTGAAACACAACCTTCAAATATCACACACTCTAAGACGGTGCAATCACCAACTATCGCCCTATGTGTACGAACACAGACAAAACAAAAGAGGCAGTCTGCTGGTCACAGTCCTGCTTGCAGGCCATTTTATGTGGATAAACTGCAGGGGCACAAACAACTCGAGCGTCTTTGCGACCACACGCTCCGCCTCTCAGTCAATCCAGACAAATTCTATGACTTGTCCTGAAGCTTTTAAGCTGTAATTGAGCACAGGATGCCCAGGAAAACCAAAGGCAGCTCTGCACAGACCTGCGTTTTTATAGCTGCTATAGTATTCTGGTGCACTTTTTTTTCTCCCTGGCCAGACAGACACCACAAAACAGGCCAAGCGTGTTAGGAAGTCGCCACCTACACGGACTCAAAGTCAGCAGCTGAGGATTTCCACCCACATAAAAATATATCATGTCTAGAGTAATAAGGTAAGATTTATTTTTACAATATATATGCCCATTTCTAACCATTGAATACAACAACAAAAAATGTGTTCTTAGAATAGACACATATTAAAAACCAAATGCTAATGTAATGTTAAATGTGTTTTTTATTAAAGATAAATGTTATGCTAATCCTCTGACCATGCTCCCTGTGCTGTTTTTGGACATTCAAACTGCTGTCTGGCTCTGCGTAAAAGCTCTCAAAGCCAAAGCTTTGTCTGTACGGTCGAATTCAAGTTCGGGGGAGGGAGAGGGTCCTTTTCAGAGAGCAAAGGGCCCTCTGTGCCCCGGATGGAGTTCCTTTAATTGCTTCTGCATTTACGTAGGCTTAAGGTTACAAGATTAGTCGATAGTGTGAGCCTGTAACTCTAAGCTGAGCAAAAGTCTAATGAACGTTACCACGTACTAATGGTGCATAGTGAAATACGTAGGCCCTTAATGTACTTCATTTCGTAGGTTTGAACTTAACTGGAAAAAGATCACTAAATAGTTAATCATGGCGTCTTGTAGTTTTCGGGAGAATCGTTTACATTAAAACCCCTCATGTTGAAATGTAAGTTGACTTTTTGCGCTTTTACGCACAGGCACTACTTCGTTTATTTCAGATTTTGGTCAGATTTTGGAAACATAAAAATATTAACATTAATGAAATTACTTTTGACTATAACATGAATGTCATACCGGGATACAGATAGTGTTTCTACTTAGGGATACTGCGTTAAAGGTAATTTAGTCAAAAATAAGAGCTTAATTCCTTCTAACTTTCTTACTATGTTGTTGTACCTTGGTGCAGATACAAATACTATCATAAAGAAATAAAGAGGCACTTGCTCGTAACTTAAACAACACGCTCAAATCCAATTAATTAATCAGCTTTGACTTTTACTAAAGTAGAAAGTAGAAGTGAAGTGATTTGGTTTCAAAGAGAAGCGACATCCACAGGCCAATCCGTGTGCCATAAAACCTTGTCAGACAACAAGTAAACAATCAAGTGTGGGGAGGATCTGCAAGTACATTGCCACGTCAGGTAGGCCTGTGAGCTGTAAAGCAGACTAAATGGGCGCTTTCAGTGTCTTGCAAAGAAACCTCCTGTAGTTTTAAACCTTTATTGAAATAAAAGCCAAAAGCTTTAGTAGAGGCTGTTTTTGTTTTCATTTTATGGTAGAAAAAAGGCCACCACACCTGCAACTCAAAGCTTCTATTCACCATGTTATTTATCTGAAAATGAAAAAAAATAAACATCCTAGTTTGCTGAGTGGGGAGGCCGAAAAGATACACAGGAAGTCGTATACAACGGGTACTAACTGACCTTTTGATGCACATACTCTAAAACATGCTTTTAAATACCAAACATTACAATGCAACTGCAAACATGGAGGTACAATGCACTGCGTACACGGAGCAGTGGTCGTACAACCAAAACACAACTGGACGAAGCTATTGTTATCTACATCATTTTCAGCCAAAACATCCAATAACTGTTTATAATTCAATTGCTTGCGTTTTGCATGCGTATATTTACACAATACTATTTGTAAGTATTTTTGAACTTGAATGATCTTGGCTCAGCTGTTAAGTTGCTGGCTACATTGATACGAGTCTGCAGATGCGGGGGGATTATAAAACCATAAGACTGAAACATGAAACAAGAGCTCACACTTAATTGCGTAAATGAACGAGCAGGAATATATAGGCCAATATATCAGTACGTTTGAACCTGATTCACCAAACAACTGTTGATTTATCCACAGGTGACAAATATGCGGGATAGCAATGGCGACGACAGAGGCGGACCACACAGAGGCCATGAAGGGAAACTGAGCAACTCCACGGTCAACGGGAGAGGATCTGACTTACCGGTTGATGATGACGGTACTCACGATGATGGGCTTGCCTGAAGAGGGAATCCTCGTTACAAGGCGTCAGCAGGAGCAGGCCTGCATAGGCCTGCATGGCAAAAAGGACATAAACTGGATTTCAGTGGGAGATTATATGACATTTGACAAAGAAAAAGTACAAAGGTAAAGAAAGAGACGGAAATGTAAGTGTAATGGAAGGGTTTCAATTTAATTGGAAAAAAGGAACCCAAAATGTACAAACTGGCTATTGCGTCAAGCAATCCTCGTGTTTGTTGCGGATTTTCTATTGATTGGTTGAACAAAAATCACATTCAGAGTTTTAGAAATGTAATGTCTAATTCCACTCCTCCATTTTGTGCGCATGCTAAAAAAACACTTTACTAATCTGAATAAAGACAAAAAGATGGCGAATAGGCGAATTTGTATTATTTTCCTTGGATTATTTCATTTTGAAATAATTGTTTAAACGGTCTAAAGGCTAAGACATAAATATATATATTCAGCATCTGCAGTTGACTAACTATTTGATCTCCCGCGATATAAAATAAAAATATTTAACAGCTGGTAAACTGGCATTTGGGAGAAACCATCATAAGTCAAAGAAACCCTTCGCTTGTAGGCTTTGTATCTAAGTATGATTTTTCTGATATTTTTGCTATATGACATTACATTTTTTAATATCCCGAAACAGGTTGTTTTTCAGAATTTTCCGAACGGTTACGCAGAAAATTGTCTGCGTCAAATAGATCATTTAGATTAAACATAATATGACTCTTAAACAGGATTATTCGATTAAATGGACGAATTTAAGTAACACATCACTACTGAACTACATTTGTAACGTTTACATTCTTATTAAATAATGCACAGTAGAATATTATTTAGCCACGTGTTTCGCATCGTTTATTACCCAACCTCAATTCATCTTGCTGAATGAACTGGATATTAGAAATACTTTATTCATCACAAATTGGGAAATTGTTTATTGTAACTTCATTCTAAGATCTTAACTGAAGATGGCGATCATTTATATGGGTGGCCACAATGTTTCTACTATCTCTTTAAAATAAAACCAGATAGATTCAATAGTTGAATAATTATTTTAAGTTAGAAAAACAACCAAACATGAGAAATTAATGACCGTAGCCCCTATCCACTTCGATTGCAGCATTGTCTAAGCATGATACGGATTTAAAGGATTTCATTTAGAGATGTCTAAAACGTTTTCCTAGACACATATATGTCTACCATGTCGTCTTTTGTAAATAGTATTCGAAAAATAAACAAATATTCAATATAAACATGTTTTCTGCAACTCAACCGGACTCATATCTTCTAGAAATGTATGTTTGTTCTCGGATGTAAATAAACGTACGATACATTTGATCTTGAAGGGATATAATTATTCTGTATAAGCAAACACAACCCACCCAAGGCAAACAGACCCATTGCCTCCTGTTATCCATGACGCAGACACACACACAGACTGTGTATCTTTCCTTTAAAAACATAGGCTACCCCCCTTCACAAATGAATACAGTAAATTATGTGCAATTTCTATTTCAAACCACATGAGATCAAGACAGAGAAACCTCGTCTGTGGAGGAAAAAGGCGCCGACTGAGGCTTTCGCATAATCTCGGTCAAGTGCTTCTATTTGACCGCTGTCACGGTCTCGGATAAATGTATGTCTGCTCTGGTCTTTGTGGTGTATTACGAGATTATCCTCCAAACTCGTGCTTTCAAGCTTGACCAGAGCCATATTGTTGAGTGAGTGAAGGTTGCAGGCCCAACCACAATTACGCACAGAGACAGCGAAGGTCAATGTAAAGAGCAAAGCCCAGTGATGGCCCTGTCTGTGTTCAACCACGTCTGACAGGCAGGAGAAGGCCACACAGGCCTGCTTATTGAACATGTGGTCCATCATATATGTGATCAATTTGATTCATTCATTACTTTGAAAACACCACACGGTAACGGTTTATTTGAATAAACAGTGTGTGTTATTTAAATCCTATAAACTTCCTGAGGATGAGGATGCACAATCGTATTTTCAATTAATCTGAAGAAACATAACCTTTATCTCTTAAAAAAGGCTTTGGTTCATTGATATTTTGTATTTTTTGAATGTCCCTAAATAAAACGATTATTTCTTTTTTTACTTTTTCATCCTTCGCCTATTTGTTTGTAAAGTTAATGATGAATTGGCCATTTATAAAGCAAATAATAGGTTAATTGAACCCATTTCAGAAGCTAATGATATTAACTGTAATTCACTTGTTTTGCCTGATGGAAGAACTCAAGTTTTGCACAGTTATCAGAACTATTATTATTTACTTAAATGGTATCTTCCTCCTTTGATTATTTCATCTTTAAATAATTATTTAAACCCACCGAACCCATTTAAGTAGCTAACGATATTAAATGTAATTCACTATGTTTGCCTTAGTGTGGCGGCAGAACTCTATTTTTGCGCAGTGATCTTCCCTGTTCCTCCTGCCACAGCCTGAAGGCTCATGTGAGGAGAGGAGAGGCGGAGCATCGTGCTGCCAGCTTTCTTTGGTCTGTCACGTTATGCGTCAGGGAGGAGGCGGGACTCAAAGGCTTGTTTTGGTTCTCAGCAAGCCAATCAAACGCTCCTATGCTTCCTCTCAGCCAATGAGCTGCCTCGCTGTACACTTCCGCTCTTTAGCCTTAGCTATTCCGCTCCGTGGGGTTTTTTGGACTACAAACTACTCTTCGCAGTCAGACATCTTACTCTTCTCCTATCTCTGAGTGTATTGCATACCACGTGTGCACCCCGCCGTGCCTACGTCAGAGGACGTGAGAGCAGGGCGACGAGGATGTACGGACTCACATTACTGTGGTGACTCTCTGCATTAGCCAGCTGGCTATGAGTATATCGTAAACACTAGATATCGGACTACTAACTATATTAGAATATCCCACTATCCAGCCTGTAGTAGATAGTGTGAATAACCCCAAAGTACTAATTAATGTTGAAGCTACTGGAGATTTAAAAATTGTTTAAGAAAGGTTAATACAATTTGAGTTGCAATAACTGTTGCAACAGATTTTATATTAGAAGTAATAATTCAAATCTGAAAACAACGCCCATTAAGATAAAACGATAAATATAAGTTACAAACAAAAATATATGGCATATATCTGGCTAAAATTGACCACAAATGATTTAATCATCACTCAAACTAACACTATTACTAACATTATTATTAATAATATAATAATAATAATAATACTAGATATTATGTTATTATTATCATTATTATTATTATTATTATTATTATTATACAAATTCAGCACCCTGGTTCGGGAGGAGGATGTATAAAGAATGTAGCCTACATTCTGAGTTTGAGAGAACACATTAAATCCGTCTCGTAAATATTTTAGTGAGTAAAGCTACTAAAAAAAGGACAAAAATAAATACATACAACATATAGGCTACATAAGCTTCGTGTCTGTGTAACCCATGAGCTTTCCCTTATTGGGGTAAGTAACATGCGTACGCCTTATGGGAGTCATTCACATTGCCATGTGCTTAAAAAATATTGAGACAATGCATAAACAAACATGTTTAAATGTACAAAAACTAAACAGACATGTCACACTAACAGGTGGGAAAGGCCGAGGAGCTGGCGCTCTGGACGAGGAGGAGTTTGGTTTCATGCCTGACATTTGACTGCCAGTAAGACTGAATCATATTTATCAATTCAGCCAAAACAAGCATGGTGGGAAGTTGCAATACTCTTAGTCACTCAAAACGGAAACTACTTTAAAATGTAAATATTCAGACGCTAGGCCTACGTTGTAATGAACAATACGAAGGACTGAGGACGCAATAAATACGCAGCACAAGCATTTCATTTGTGTAAACTGCCAACGAATCTTAGAATAATGTATCTCAAATATAACCCTATTGATACAGCACACATCGTTTCATAAACATTGTCTTAATCATCCAAAAACTACACCAAATTAATATTGATTACAATTTCAAAAAACATGTACATAATGTTCGTGACCGAGAGTACAGGCCTTCAGATTTAGCTTGTTCCGGATTAATCCAACAATCACAGAAAGGCAAGAAAAAATTAACAATTATAATAATAGAAATACAATCATTTATATTGCATTCTGAAATGTATTTACCAATATAAAAAGTTGCACTCATGTTTAGAACTTAAAACGCACGTAAATGTGTCGCCTTTTACAAAGTAGATGGACACCCGGCCCAACGCACCGTTTGGAACCTGTCGCCTGAATGTCGTTTACTGCAGTGACCATTTAGGGAATAAAGCAGACAAATCAATATGTATTTCACTGATCAAAATACAGACACATAGCAGATACAAATACACCAACGTTCAGCGCAAAATAGCTGCATATCAGTAACCACAAACGACTCAAAGGCCATGTAAATATTTTACAATATATTAATATAAAAGATTGACTGCATGGGATTTAAAAAGTAACCTACTGTATGGATTTCATCTTTTTTTGTATTTATGAATGAAACGGAAGCACGAAGAATAACGTTGGGAGAAAAATAGACACAATTACACCCTGCCTCAAACCTAAACCTTTTATCAATCATTTAAATATGTAATACAATTTGTTGTACAGCAAATGTACATTTCCCACTCTCACCATAAGTGAGAAAGGTGATTATAGTTTGTATTTTATATACAAAATTATTAAAATAAATTTGTTTCCTGCAACGTTCAACTGTGTCTGATTATTGCGGCTGCTGTCTCTGTCAAAGTAAATGAATAATAATTTAGATTTTTTATGGAGAAATTAAATGAAAATGAAATAATTGTATTATAAATATTATTTATAATATTACATTTGTTTTTCCAGTACGAGTTTATACTCAGTATTTGATTATTTGACCACTGATAATCCACCAGAGTATCTCACAAAGTCGCCGCTAGATGGCGATGTTAGCCTATATTTCAACACAGATCAGCCTCAACTGATTTAGGCTATTTCCTCTTTTCCCAGAGCCAGCAGAAAGCTACTACACATGACAAATATTGGAGTTGCAAAAATACATTTGAAACGTATTAGTGGCCTAATTTCGGCTAAAGGAAGCTGCTACAAACCCAGCAAAGACTGCGAGACAAGTTTACTATTCAAATATTCGCCAGTGGAGTATGGGCCTACAAGACTGTTTTAGCGATAATGGAGGAGAACGTCTTCCAAAAGATGAAAAAGTAACGCCAAGCTATGACTACAGTGCCATGCAATACAAACATAACCTGGATCAAATTCAACAAAGTCCATATTTTATTGGGAAGGACTTAAACAACACTGGACTCACACACAAATAATCAGAATATCATGCCGAAATGTACTTTATATACAACCACATGAAAACGCACACATCATAAAAAGCTCATATGAACACATATCCCGAACGATTATCTAAGCATTATAATAAGAATTGCACCATGGATCGGATATGAATGAGAGCACGGGTTCATATGATAAGACTAAACTTCATACAAGCTAAGCATGTGAGTAGGTTTTAAACAAAAAAGGAAGCAAGGAGAGAGATTAATATTTAACATTCCCAAGGTCCAAATCCGTAACACCGTCTTTCTGTTAATCTTCGCATTTTTTTTTTATCACTCTCGTTAAAGTTGCAGATAAAGGTGTAGCTCGGTGGCACACACCTTTCTGGGGCCAGTTTCCTGTGTTGAGAGTGAGCATGCCAAAAAAAAGAAATCACAAATACTGCTGCTAAATATTTGTTTCCACTTGACTCCATTAACAATATTTATAAACAAGTGGCAGGAAATGGAGGGTCCATCTTGCACAGGCCTCAAATGTTGATCCAAGAGCTCCATGAAAATATTTGGCAACATACGAACAAATCATATTCAGTCAGGAAATATTTCAGTTGTTCCAATCCATGAGTCCAAGCGTGTGTGCGTGCGTGTGCGTGTGTGTGTGTATGTGTGTGTGCGCGTGTGTGTGTGTGTGTGTGTGTGTGTGTGTGTGTGTGGTGTGTGTGTGTGTGTGTGTGTGTGTTGTGTGTGTGTGTGTGTGTGTGTGTGTGTGTGTGTGTGTGTGTGTGTGTGTGTGTGTGTGTGTGTGTGTGTGTGGTAGTTTGTGTGTGTGTGGTAGTTTGTGTGGTAGTTTATCTCCACCAGATATTGTCCGTAGAAAGAAAAAAGAAACTAGCTGATGGGTTTCAATTTGTGGACCACTTTCTTCTCCTTTACGCGTCTGTTTTGAAACCATATTGTGACCTGTCTCTCGGACAGGTTGGTCTGGGCAGATATCCTCCTCCTTTTGTCCTTCGTGATAAATTTATTGGCGCCGTACTCGCGCTCAAGTTCCTTCAGTTGCACCTTGGTGTATGGCA